TAAAACTTCAATAATAATATTATATAATGAGTTCCCGTAAATTTCGTTTTATCCTTATAACAATATTTTTTGCGTTCTAGGTATGGCCTCGGCCAGGCCTCGCCTCGAAGCGTATGGCTTACAGGCTTTGGATTTTTTCATCAATATACGAAAAAGGGAAATATTGTCATAATCAGCAAGTACAAGGTATTTAGGATCAATATTAATATAATTTCCCATTTGTTTTTCATATTTATTTCCCATATTTATTTCTCCCATTTATTTCCCATACTTATTTCCCACTCTGGGTTCCTTAAACCGCATAAATTTTTACTTATTTCCCATACTTATCTCCCATACTTGTCTCCCGTACTTGTCTCCCGTACTTGTCTCCCACACTTATCTCCCACTCTGGGTTCCTTGGGGCGCATGGGGCAAGGCGAACAATAAATACAAAGAAAAATTCCGAAATAATATTTTTTACCACAAATCAAAAAATAATTTTAATTTTCTACATATATTTAGGATCAATATTAGTATAATTTTTATTTATAAAATAATATTAATTATTATTTATAATTTAAATATTATATAAATATGTTCGATTCCAAGGCGGGTTACATATTTTCAGCTATACCAAATATATAATAAATTAAGAATTTAAGGGACCCTAGAATAGGATTACCAAATTCTTAAATTATTACTTATACATGAGGTTTGACATTCTCCTTTTTACGTTTTGGATGTGAGCCCTTGTATCGGAAACCATTACATTCTTTTTTGCGCACTAACCGCACGAAACTCAGACAAGCCTGCTTAGCCAAAAAAGCTTTTTTTTCCAGGATCTAGAAAATCATATTTTCGCATGCCTCTTGTCAAATCTGCTTGGCAAACGCATTGGAAGAATAAAAAATATCACATACTAAAATGAATGCCAAGCATAACCACGAGCGTAACTTATTACACGGCCCGCCAAGCCCAAGCCTGTGAAGGGCGCGCCGGGGGAGAATCGAGCCTTGGCGCGACAACGGCGCCCGGGCGCTGAACTTTAGTCCGCTGGATAAACCGCCGAGCCGCTGCCGCCGCAACCGCGACCGCGGAAACAGAGACCCTACTACGGCGACCACGGAAGCCTCTTTACACGAAAAAACGCATGGTTTCGCGCCCAAGAGCCTTTCACCCGTAAACTCACACATTCCCGAACTGTTACACTTCCCACCTACTTGATGATGGGTGGTTGACATGATGATGTGGTTGACATGATGGTGGGAATGCAAACCATGACAATCGTCTGTAACTCGGAAGCTTTCCAACTAAATTTCCTTTGATAAGGCTATTTTTTAAAATTCACTTCTTTTCCGAAAAAAATCAAGCAACATCGTCCAGGCTCTACTGGTATATTACTTGAATTTTTTTCGAAGGATAGTTGTAACCAATCTGTTTTACTCAGCATCTAAGAGGCCGTTCAAAGCTTTGAAGGTGGCGCAGCCTTGCAAGTACTTAGCTTGATGGTTTTGGCGAAATCGCAAAATCAGATTTTCCGCGCCTCCAGCTCTGCGTAAAGTTCATCAATCCGGGCCTACACGCTGAAGCCATCAATTGACAAATGCGAGCTCTGCACTTCGTGTGTTGAGACAGCCTGATACTTGTCTTTGGCTTTGTTCCGCTGCAACTTGAAGGTCGGCGTCAGCACCTTCAAAAACGAGAACGGAATCTTGAGACCTTTGACGACGGGATACAAAGAGCATTTCCACATATTTTCACTACATAGACCTACATAGCAAACACAGAATTTCAGACCTTCCTCAAAATTTGATGGCCTCACCACCTGGATCCCAGGGCGTTGGCTCAAGGAACACGGCCTGGCGACGAAAAATCCCAAGGGATCGAATGGCTCCAATGGCACAGGCGTCTCTCGCCTTGATCACCTCAAAGCCAGACAGCTTTGCCTGGCACGCCGCATGCTGAAAGTTCTGAGGAGAAAGTTATGACGACGTTGTGAAAGCCGTGCGCAAAAACAGGAGGCAGAACAGATCGAGCCAACTGCTGCAAGTCGTTCAGAACAGCCTGGTGATGAAACCGTGAAAAGTTATAGGTTTAGCTTAAACTAAAACTGGTTCAAACTGGCTTGAGAACACCTGCCTTCTTGAAACCAGCATCCTAAGACATGATGCACCATGGTTGGGCACACACAGTCATCTACGTGTGGTCAACTTCCAAGATCAGACGGGAATTGCTTCAACCCCAAAAACTGAGCTCCCATCTTTACACAACTCAGCCAGAGATTTTTGAGAACCATTCCTCAAGGACGCTTCAGCACAGCCATTACAAGAAAGAAACGTTTGACTGCAGCTGCATTTTTTTCTCATCGCTTTTTGGTGGTTTGCCAGATTCCTTTTTCTCCATAAGCGGACTCAACGCGAGTGAAACGAAACCTCACAAGCACACAGCTAAGCATCAAGGAACATAACCTTGAAGAGCCTGAAATGGCATCAGTGACAGTTGGCGTCCCAAACGTCAAGCGCAAGGAAAGCAAGTGAAATAGCACAAGTAGACAGGAAACACAACCCTGTTTGACCACTTCTCAATAGATGCCTCGCGCTTCAAGAACCTGTCCACTTCAGAGTCGGCCACCCACCAAGAGCCAGTAGTTCTGGGCATTTCTCCTGAACATCTGAATTTTTGCAAATGTATGGTGAACATGGTGAACCAGAATCAAGATGAAAATTCCTTGAGATCTCTTGAGATTTTCCACATTTTCCCACCTTGACGTTGCTTCTCCAAACGCTGCAAGGCCTTCCTGTGACGATCTGACAGCTGGAAACCTGGCGCAAAGGCTTTGCGCTCAGGCTACGCTCAACACGCAGCCTGTGATCTCTGACTCTGCCTGGGTCGTGTTGGATCCGCACAGCTGCCTTTGCGGCGGAGCAAACATATGCACCAACTTGGTTGGACATGTTGGACATCATGGACCAACAGCGGCTCATTCTAACCAGCACTTGTCATGTCTTGCCAGCGGCCTGTGGTGACGAGCGCTGCGCCTCACATTCTAACAAACCCTTGATGGAATTCTGTTAGCTGCTAGCTTCACGGTGAAGTCCTGTGCTGTTTTGTGTAAGTTTGGATCCAACAAACGTGAAATTCTCTGGGCCTGGTTCTGTTGCTCCTGGCTGCCTGTCTCCTGCAAGATTCTTGAAATATGTCAAGATGTCTCAAAACAGCAAAATCAAGGAACTGACAAATTCAAGAGTTATTGCGACAAACAAAACATGACACTTTGAATGCGTAAAGAAGAACTCGATCAAATTGCACTCTTCAAAAGTTCAATACCAACAAGTCACCCAACGCCCAAACTGTCGCATCAAACTGTCACGCGGCAGAACCTGGGCCAATCCCAGGCCTGGTTTGTTTTGGACGCTTTCCTCTTGCGGAAGGCCTTGGCTGGATCCACATGATCCACATGATCCGCATTCAAAGCTACGTACGCGGGTCACAAGGCGCACCTCGAAGATTTCACCACGGCGGCGCTCAGCGGTGGCTATGCGCTCACGGCGCATTTCCTGCTTCTGGAGACATCAACTGACTCATAGAATCCGAGCGCTGACACATGCGAACACAGTAACACATCATCCCCATTCCATGTCAATCAATTGAAACCAATTGACTGTCCTCGGCCATTGCAGCAGCCCGCCTTTTGGCAGCTTCCTGTCACAAGGCGTGATCCAATCCCCCCTTCTAGATCTGCGTGCCATTCTGTACCAGTCTAAGTCAAACTGTGATGTCCTCCTTTTCTTTTTGTTCCTTCTCCTTCTTCAACTTGGCTTCTGCCTGTGACCGCTGTTTTATATGCTCGGCCGAAACAGGCCTCACCTAGGCCTCACCCAGTTCTGGCCTCTCTTCGCTTCAGCTCCGCCGCTTGGGCAGCTCTTGCTGCGGCTTTGGCTTCCTTCTCTCTTCTCTCTCTTCTCTCTCGAGCTTTCTCTCTTTTTTCTCTCTCCCTGGCCTCCTTGGCCATCTTGGCCTCACTGGCCACACCTTCTCTGTTCGTTCTCGCCTTCTCTGCTCTCTCGGCTCTTTCTGTTCTCTCTCTTGCATCACTTGCAGCGCTCGCACCGGCACTTGGCCTGAATTTCAAACCAGAATCGGTAGCATGTTTCGGTGAACGTTCCAGCATTTCGCTCAGACTGCAGGAATTCATTCACGTTTATTCCCTGCCTTTGCACATTGGGATGCCGTGGATCTTTCAGTGCCTGGTGGCAGCACCAAAATAGAGCCGTGCAAAGTCGTGCCAAGCTGTGCCTTCTGTTTTTCAGGCCTGGAGCAGCACTTCCTTTGCTTTGCTGAGGCGCAGGAACCGCACTTTGGCAAGGGCATCCTTGCGAAGACCAAACTTTTGGAACTTTTAAATGTGTTTACACATGTTTTCACATACAAACAACCTTCACATGAAATACAGATAACCTGCAGAAAACCTGCAGTCCTTGGGATGTCGGTCTGGGTGACAGCGCAAGGCCCGTCGTCGAAAGGCGCTTTCAACCTCTGCACGTCCAGCACGGCATGACACGCCCAGCAACGTGGCGGCCTGGAACGCAGAACAAGGCCACGAGGCCAGGAATCTTTACGTTGGATCAGTGGAAGGTGGAAATTTTCACGCAATCGTTGAACAAAGTTTGTCAAAGTGATTGTAGAGAATTGTGTAAACTCTTGTCGGTTTTAAATGTTGTGATTGTGAGATGGAAATCCGAACACATCGAAGCCTCTTTGATGCCACAAGTCATGGCAACCGAGCTCCATCTGGAAGAGTCGCTTTGGGAGCACCTTCTTTTCTGATATGTTTCTGTAAGTGAGTTGTCATCTTGGCAAATGTTGGCATCATGCAGTGGTAAAGGGGCCATCGTTTTTTTCATGCAAATCTCAATAGGATTCCAAATTGGTTCCAGACACCCAGCAGCTTTTTGCAGCTAATGGAATCCAATGTGTTGTGCGCTTGTCATGGCTGGGCGCTTTGGAGCCGGCGGCACAGCAGCTTCCTTCTCAAGCACTTGAAGAGCAGGAACAGCCGTTTTAAACCATGAGTCTATGGTCATCGTTGGTCATCCATGGCTGTTTTTGTTGCACGCCTCACAATGAAAGAGATCAAAATAATAGTCTGATCTGCTCATTTTGTAGGAATCTTCTGAGGTTCCCTCTGCTTTGCCCAGCTGGCTGCTGTGTCAGGATCGGGCACAACGATCGCTACCAACCTGCATCAAAGCGCGGTCGGAATCCCAGTCGATCTATGTAAGCCAAGAATCGGCTCCAGGTACCAGTCTAGTGAGTCAGTAGTCACAAAATAGTCACAGAATGAAGGATATTTAAGGCCAATTCATCAATCATGTCAGTCAGGCTGAGTCTTCAGTGAGTCTCCATACACGAAGCTTTGGGCAACGAAGTGGCTTTGAACCTTCGGTGACTTCAAAGCAAAACATGGTGGAAGACTGCGTGAAAAATTGCGCAGGCTTCCAGGAGAATCGCTTTCCGATTTTTCCAAAGAAAACTCCAAGTGTCAGGCGTTCAGTCCTTCAATCTTCTCAGGAGCAACATACTCACCTTGCTGCGGGCGACATGTAAAAACAAATGGATGCAAGTGGCAAGACCTAGTCATAAATGTGGTCTGAAACAGAGTTTTTGCAACCGCAGAAAAACTTTAGCACAGGTAGCTTCACATAAGAAATTGGCGCCAAAACTGGTGCCTTGGGCCAACTTGAATATGTTCTTCTTGCGATCGATGATCTTGAGCCGTCCATCGGGCAACCACATCCTCAGGGAGAAAGTCTTTTTCATCAGAAAGGTTCTGAGCAAATTGCGCCTATGCAATCTGAGAGAAAGAGCGCTCCCTTTTACTTTTTTTGCATGACATTGACATGCGATTCATTTGCATACCTACTATGCGGACTATCGGGCCATGTGAGGGCTCCTCAGATGCTTCCTTTGATCTTTCTCAACCATGCTTTGAAAGCTGGATCTAATTGTCCAATCTGTGTGCAACATTTTGTTCCACATATTTTCACAGTGTTTACTCTGTTTGTCTCTAGTGCAGGCAAAGGCACCCAATGTCACCAGAGTGGAACCAGCCATCTTCATCAATGGCCTCGCAGTAAAACCGCATCTGCAGAGAGAAAGTGACGCGGAAGCCGCGGGAGCCTCAGCTGTCTTGTTGGGCATCTTGTAGTAACCTGGACATGCCAAGTCGGCGCCGCACGGCCGCTGGCGGCATCATCCAATTGTTGCCCGTTTACCGTAGCCCGCAGTGGTGCCTTTGAAGAGGTTGGTGCCCTTGAAACAGATCTCTCCCCTACCGTGACCTCAAAGCTCCAGGCAAAAAAGTGTCATCAGATTTGCCAGGCCCTTCTGTCATGATATACCATGCCATGCTGCTATGGTATACTGGGCTGGAAGATCCCTTCACATTCAAGCGGGGCTTGGCGACTGAAAGTCCCGCATGGAATTTCTCTTTCGCCTGCTTTGTGCACCTGGCAGCGCACGATGAACCGTATATAGCATATTATTGCATTCTCCCTTCCAAAAAGAAAACATCCAAAATTGACTACCACCAGGAATCGTTTTCGATATAGTAAATACTTTTCCACTATGAACTATTTGCAAGCTTCTGACTACACCGCTCAGCTTTTTTTGTGCAGGTGCCTGATCCGTGCGCAAATAGCCTTGTTGGCAAAAAAAATCATACTGCCACTGACACATTGCTGATAGAAATGATGAATATCTTGTCCGAAACTCACGCACACACACAAACATAAATATATATATATAATAATAATAAATAATAATAATAATCTATAATATATATACATATATATATACATATATACATACACAATCATACACATACCAAGCTAAGATTTGTCTCTTCGGAAACCATCCTAAGGAGCCCAAAGATCGACACTATGAAACAACACATCTGAGACAGGCACCCATGTCCGGCACATCCTGCGCAAAAAGCTTCCGCTGCAAACTTACCACTCGCAGCATCATCTTTGAGCGAATCTTGAAGCCAGAGAGCTTGGAAACCAAGCAACATATCCCCACCGGCCCGTTTTTCCCGCTCCTTCAAACGCAGCTCGTTGCAGCTGAGCACGGCGCCCACAGTACCGGGTGCCAGATCGCCATCTGCTGTGACGGCACCTTGCCACAGAAACTCTCTGCAAGATCCCATTTGATTTCCTCACTTTAGAAGTAAATCCCGGCCTGCTCCAGCAGTCTCTGAAAGCCCATATCCTTCGAACACCTGTCTTTGACAGGCTGACCGTGTGCATCCAACACTGCTTTATCCTTAGTCTTCCCTTTCAACACCCTTGTTTATGTGTCCCCTGAACATGCCGGGGCTGCAGGACAAGCAAACACCTCAGCGTCACTGCTGCCACTATTTCTTGGAATGTTGCTTGCCCCTAGTAAAAGACTTAGTTTTGTATGCCACGCCAACACCACAGCTCGAATGCTTCAGATATCCTGAGATAGCTTGAGATATCTTGAGATGGGGGCATCTGGGGGCCCCTGCTATTCTCAAAAAGTCCAGGACGTGATCTGCAATTGGAGCACTTCCTGTGAGCATCACCCGAACCTGCCATCCGCAGCCATCCACAGATTCGTCTCTTGAGCCTTCTTAGTCTGTATGCATCTGAATGCTCATGTCCTGCACCAGGCCTTGTCAAGTCCAACTTTCTCTGCAATTTTGGAGAAGACCAATCTCAGCAATGTATTCAGCGGAAGCCGCCCTGTGCTGTTGACAATGTTAACACCAAGATCCATTCCAAGACCTATCATCTCCCTATCAGCTGACCAGCCTGTCCCACACAGGATGTGTGTTCTTTCCATGCACCAGAGCAGCCTGGCGTATCAAGGGGGTTCAATTAGCGTTGAAATGCTCTGGTTTGCATCCCAAGTGCCTTCTTGGCAGCATAGGCGCGGTCAAAGAGGGCCTGAGGCTGCAATTTAGCAAGTCGTTCGAAGCTACATGGTCTCTACTTGCAGTGTGTCGGAATGACATCTGGCTATGTATTTGTGTCATGATCAAAAAGGCTTTTGCTGCTTATGCATTTGTTCCAGTCCTTTTGCGCAAAGCTTCCAACTTCAAACGATATGGATCATGGAATGGTTCGACACCCTGATTGATATCAAGACTCCCTTGCAAATAGCTTTTTTTGTCACAGAAATTCATGCGCCCGCAATGACGTCTCAAATACCCTTCCAAAGAGCGGCTTGATTTCCAGGATTGTCACGGAACGCTGGTGTTGCGCGGTTTGCCACGATCTGTGCTCTGTCAATAGAATTGTTTGCCACAGAATTGGATGGGGCTCAAGGTGCGACCGGCGGTCAGAAAGCTTATGTATATATATTATATATCGTGGAACTCTTGCTTGTTTACGGTCGGGCTTTGGCAGGTATGTCCAAGCATTTCCAATGTACTTTCGGCACTTTCTGTGTCTGAAGCTGGCTTGAGAAGCAACAATGCAAAACCAAAGGTTCCAAGTCGCAGTGGGTTCGCCTGGCACTGATGGTTCTGACGGTTCCAAGTGAATCCAGGAAACAGAGGAAACAGAGATAGAGCTCCGGCACCGATTCCGGGGCACAGAGGAAACACGGCTGGACGGTGAGGATGATCCGGATGGTGAGCTCAAAAGTTCACAGAGCACCTCCATGTACAACACGTCCGTTTCAAAGAACAAACGGCGCATATGGCATCACGTGGTGTACAAATGGGGCATCTAAACTGGACATCTTGTCGATCACATTGAAACATATTGGAACTATGCGTCGTTTGTAAAGCGAAAGTCTAAAGGCTGGTGTGCTGTTGTTAATTGATTGTGTTGTTGATGCCACAAGTGTTATCGGCACATGTGACAGCAAATGGTGCAAATAGCTGCAGGCGATGGATCCGATGGATCCGAGGCCACTGAGATGGTGATGGTCGCAGTCATGGATGGTCATGAGAGGAGCTTCGAATTAGCCCCATGGTCTATATTGCCTAGGCCTTACAAATTCTCTTCATAGGTCATTATACGAAGCTGCATCCCATCTGGCTCCCCTTCCTGGTGGATGACTGGCGATTCCTTGTCAAGAACAAACCACTACATAGTCTGCACGCCTGAAATACTACCCTGGCAATTCTGTGCACTCTGCTGTCAGTCAAGCGGCACCCCCAAAGAGGTCTGCCATTTCTCGCGCGCTTTCAAGACTTAAACTACAAATGCTTCATCCAGGCATTGGCTGTGCATTTGCATCTGGTGACACAAGAAAATCCCAGGTGCGCTTTGACCTTGATACCAGCGACATCAATTGGGAGAAATTGTGGGGGCACGGAAAGATCAAGTGCCCGCCTCAACGATTTGCAGCACCGAGTGGATTTGTGGGTGACGGGAGGCAAAACCTAAAGGGATCTTTGAAGCTACGGTGAATAAAGAGCGGGGCAACGATATTATGTGCGCAACGCGTGTCCGGTTTTAAAAGCTTGGAATCCCGAGAAGATGGATTCTCTGAGTCCTATGAAACCAAGCAAGGGAATTTAAAGAATCCTTATTCGCGTGAAATGTCTGACCAAGCAAGTTCTCGCGCGTTTTCAAGACCTAAACTACAAGTGCTTCATCCAGGCATTGGCTGTGCATTTGCATCTGGTGACACAAGCAAGTCCCAGGTGCGCTTTGACCTTGATACCAGCCGTGTCAAGTGGGAGAAATTGTGGAGGCACGGAAAGATCAAGTACCCGCCTCAACGATTTGCAGCACCGCGTGGATTTGTGGGTGACGGGAGGCAAAATCTAAAGGGATCTTTAAAGCTAAGGCGAGAAGAGAGCGGGGCAAAGATATGATGTCCACAACGCATCTCCGGCCTTAAGCTTGGAATCCCGAGAAGGAGAAAACGACGATTTCTCAGCTTCTCCGAATCCTATGATGAAACCATGCAAGGGAATTTAAAGAGTTCTTCTGCGTGTGACATGTCTGACCAAGCCAATCCGGTGCATTTTGGTGCTAGCTGCTCTGTGGCCCACCTTGAAGCCCAAGAATGCACCGTTCGCCCGTTTGCGAAAATGGATTAGGGTATAGATGACAGGCAGGACGAAGTGGGGAGACTGATTTGATCGAAAATCTTCGGGCTCAACAACCTTGCCCCAAATCTTAGTACACCTCTGGAAGTTGTTTGGGCCTGTGAAGATTTCTGGACGGTTGTCTTGAAACACTCTGTAGTATGTTACGGAACTCTTTCTTGATTAAAGGGATTACTGTGTCAAGTGCCTGTACTTTGCGAGGCTCTGTTGGGAAAAGTGCGAATGCATGGCGCATCTGAGAAATTTTGAAACGACTCAGAACTGCGGCCAAGTAAATTGCTCCAGTGTGTTAGTGAGCGCTGCGTGGATTGGGTTGGCGAGACGGGCAAGTGGGTTCCCTGACCCGCTTTACACACTCCGCCATTTACCTCACAGCCAGCCATGAACCTTTCCGATAGAGCGCCTTATCAAGTTGCGCGCCTATCTCGTGACAACAGGTTGCAGGCTCTGCAAGGGAAACCAAGTTTCTTCTCTGCAGGAATATTCTCCTGTGAAAAAGAACAGTGGGACGTGTGAGTGGGGGACCAAGAATACAAAACACAAACTCAAGAGCTTCTGGCAGAGAAGCCATGAAATTTGTTTGGGGGATGGTGCGTTAGCGGTAAGAGGCAAGGCTTTTCTGCAATAAAATGAGAAGAATGAGAAATTCAGGTTCAGTCTGCACTTTCGCACGCTCTGGATCTTGAACATCCTCAGGCATGTTATGAAACAACGCGCCCTTTCATGCCCAGCTCATCATCTGGGAGAGCCAAAGTTTTCATGGTAACAAAGGAGTGCAGGCACTGTACTCATGCAGGTGTCACATGCACTAGTAATGTATGAACTGTATGGACTGTATGGACATGCACTGTCGGGTGCTTTCTCAAACATTCATAAACAATGTCGCAAACATCTGGCTTTTGGCATTTCTGGAGAGGTGCATAGTGAACTGTATCTCACATGCTACCCAATTTTCCGCTGACATGGGCAGTCTTATTTGCGAACATCACCGAATTGATCAATGCTGTTACGGCTTGCGGCCAGTCCAAGGTGAGCTTCACTCAGAGAGTGAAGTTTGGATAGTTTGGTTTCAAGGATTTCAGGGGTCGCAAAAAGGGCCAGCACTGGCTGGGCCTGCGGCTGCAAGCTGTCCGAGTTGAATGGCTAAGGGGCTGAGATTAACACCGGCGGCTGGGGTGTCATACTGTATGCCAAGCTAAGTTTCACAAGAGCATCAGGTAAGATCTCACGTGTTCACAATTACACGCATTGTGAGTTGTACACGCTTGAGCAGGGTGGCAATTCAGGTGCTCTTACCCAATGATCTAAAATTTTGTGTCAGATTGTTGCTTGTGAGAGAGCAAATTTTCATGTCGTTTGCAAACCTGGCGTGGTCAGTTAGTACATTAATACTTTGGTGGTCTACAATGTTTTCAGGCGAAAGACAGAGCAGTTTCGGCCAACCTCGAACTCGGCTCTCTGAAGGTCAAACATGCACGACCACTTGATTCAAAACATGGGTCCACACGGGAAAGCTTCTGGGCTTCCGGTGGCATTGGCTTCCGGGCCTTGACTTCTGAGCCCTGGAAACTCCAACAGCGCCTTACAGCCCATTAGCTTTTAGCCTGGTTCAAAATCTGAAAGGCACCTAAGATTGTTGTGTCGGAACAAAAGGAATCAGCTACGAAGCCCACCTTTTCTCTGTAATGCTTGGCTAGAAAGGACCGTGCTGGGCTTAGGTTTTTCGTCAGAAGGAATGTTCTGAAGTTCCCTGTTTCTTGTTGCCTATGGTGGCAGCATGTGGCAGCTTTGCTCGGAAAGATGTGATTCATGCGAAATTTCAAATATGTGTGCCCATGTGTTCCCATTGGTGCCGGGCAGCGAAACAACGATTGACACGGGCAAGGGGATTGTCTCACGACACCCTAACACCAAACTCACACAATTGTCAGGGACAACTACAGGAAATGCATGGATTTGATGAAATCCGAGGTCGTGATCACAATTACACGCATTGTGAGTTGTACACGCTTGAGCAGGGTGGCAATTCAGGTGATCTTACCCAATGATCTAAAATTTTGTTTCAGATTGTTGCTTGTGAGAGAGCAAATTTTCATGTCGTTTGCAAACCTGGCGTGGTCAGTTAGTACATTAATACTTTGGTGGTCTACAATGTTTTCAGGCGAAAGACAGAGCAGTTTCGGCCAACCTCGAACTCGGCTCTCTGAAGGTCAAACATGCACGACCACTTGATTCAAAACATGGGTCCACACGGGAAAGCTTCTGGGCTTCCGGTGGCATTGGCTTCCGGGCCTTGACTTCTGAGCCCTGGAAACTCCAACAGCGCCTTACAGCCCATTAGCTTTTAGCCTGGTTCCGTAAGACTTGTGCTGTTGGTGTGCTTCCATCTGAGAACTACGCAGTCAGTCGTGATAAGCTGTTTTCGGCCGAAAAGATCTGAATGCAACAGCTCTGTGACCTAACATGATTTCATGTGAGCCTGTCTGAAAATCGGGTGGTCAACTTGATAATCATCTTCCTTCAAATGGAAATGCTTGGGCATCAAACACGTGGATCCATACAGCACATTGTGACTCGCGGGCCATTCCCAGCAGCTCTACAAAACAACCCCCGGTTAACAACGGACTGTACTTTAAGGTTGCAGGCTTTCAGAAACTGCCACAGACTGCTTTAGCATGTCTGACAAGTCTAGCAAAATCCAGTACCAAACGAGAAACCAACTTCGAACACTTCGAAAGCTTCAATATCCTCCATTTCGGCGGTCCATTTCGCGTTGTGATTTTGCTGTGCACAGCTCTTCGGCAGTGCCTGGAGTTCAAGGCGTGGGCCGTCATGGAATGGTGTGAGCTTAGGGTTTCAGCGGTTTCAGCTTCACGGTGTCGCTGCACAGTAGCGCAGAAACAGCTGCTGAGTGCTGACAGCGTTGAACTCGTTGAACTCAGACTGAGAAAATTCTGACGGTTCTGACTCCCCAACTCTCTCCACGCAGCACTAGCTGTCAACGCTCGTGAATTTTCCAACCGCAGCTGCGAACAACTGTCGCATTCATTCAAGGCTATACTGTCTATACTTGGCTATGCTGGATATGCCGGCTATGCTTGTGAACAAACACAGGACCTCGTCATAGGAGATCGAGAACAAGATCTCAACACACATTTTGGATGTTGCATAACAGCAGAACAAAGCCCATCTTGAAACTTGTGCCGAAACCGGTGACTAGTCGCCCATTGCCTTTTGACCAAATGCTTTTGAGTTCTTTGGCCCTGTTTGATACACATACCTTCAAAGGTCACCGGACTCAAAGCACACCCTTTCTGCACGGCGCTCACACCACATGTCAAAGCGGAAGATCCTGACTTGCGAACATAGCAAAGCCGGTTAGCCCAGCAAGTGAAAGATTTCGGGCTGTAAGATATTCTCATAACAAGTGTTGCCAACGCTCGGAAAATGGCAGAGCCTGAGCGATGGGCATAGCAAATGTGGTCTCAACTTCGGCTTGGGAAGATGATCAGTCGGAAGCATCTGGAACTAGTCTGAATGTGGTCTCAACTCAGTCAACTATGTCCTAGTCATTGTGGAAGTGGCCGAGTCCCAGCCGTTCACTGCTCCCACCTCCCGCTGCACTTTGTCCCGTGGGGAAGTGACCGGAGCAAAAGAAGCAGAGTGGAAAGGGTGGAACGGGGCAGACTAGAGACGGCAGGAACGAGGGCGGCACATCACTCGGCCTGTCACTCGACCACCTCACGAAAGCCTTCACGGAAGCCTTCACAACATGGTCACCCGTCACCTTCGTCACCTTCTCATCGAGCTCACGCTCCCTTACCTTCCGTTACCTTCGGGCAGCTAAGAACGTGCCGCAAAAGCATGGCCAGCGCCGTGTGAAGTTTCGCTTCAGCACCAGCTCTCTGGAGCGTTTTTGTTGACGCACAAAAATTACAAAGCACTTCTTGGTCCACTCCTTTAAGGACAGTATCCAAAGTCGACCAGGATCAACACGATAAAATACACCAGGTGCTCGCTTCATGGCAAGATCTACATTGACTTACTTTAGCTCAGCGAGATGCAATGCAATCCTGCTGTCCTTGGCTGCGTCCACTGCCCGTTGATGATTTTGATTGGCTGCAACGCATAGCTATTCCAAAGTGATTCCCCCTTCTGACTTTGACTTTCCTTGTTTTGGACATTTTTGCGCTTCTGGACTGTCCCCACCAGAAGTGGTATCCGATGGATTTGCTCTGATCATTGGCTCAGTAGAAGTTATAGTTTCAGGTGTCCTACTCTGGTGGCTAGTCTTCCTTGAGCTGCCTCAGCTCCTCAATTCTTCACCTCACTGCTTATGGAAGTGCAGTGCGTATAAAAATTCTTACTGGCAGTAAACAACATGGGAGAATGCATTGAGGACAAAGTCATAGGGCTGTTTCAACGTACTCTTTCCCAGCATGCCACACCCAAACTTGTTTTTTTGTGTCAGCAGAATGCGATGGATCGCATAGGCTTTCAACGCCAAGTCTTGGTGTCCCAAATGTTTTTGTTTGGATGTTGGTTTTAAACTATGGTCACGCACTGCGTCACTTGGGAAAAAGGTGACGTGATCGAAGCCAAGCAGCTTTCCAAGATTTCCACTTCTCGGTCACAAGCTTTGGTCACAACCTCGACACTGCAGCTCACAATGAAAGCATTCAACCATTCACCGGTGTATCTAGAAAGGCCATGCGGAATGGAATGCATCTTTCCACAGTCACACCTGTCACACCTGTCACGCTGTCACAGACGGTTGGAGCTTTGGTCCGTCCAAACATGAGAAAGCCAAAAGCACCAGGTTTTTGCACCAACCTGGCTGAGAGTTGCGGATCTTGTGGGTTCTTACACTTCAGGTCCGGTGAAGACCCGGAAGGACTTTTGTGGCTCTATTTAGTCTATTTAGTCTATTTCTTTTGAATCGAAACATCGTTAAACTGAAAAACTTCTTTGAACTCGTTTTTTGCCTATCTTCATCTGGGTCTTGGACTGATGCGGACTGTGACTAAGTGAATGGGGAGCGGTCCAGGACCGCCGGATGGTCGCAGTTTCCATCCTTTCCATTGTGCCCAGGATCAAATTCTGCATGCACAGCCCCCATTCATTTCTACTGCATTGGTCTGCATGAAATGGCAGGAATTTGCGCTACACAGCGTACAAAGGCAGAAAATGAGAGATGGGTGTGTCTGAAAATGGTGCTGGATACCCATTAAATGGCCATTTAATGGAAAAAATGATGATAAACCATGGAATTTTGGGGTACCCGTTTTTCAGACAAATCTAGATAACAATCGTTCTTTGGTGTTCAGGCCACGTTTTGTGCTTCAGAGGGATGTTTGCACTGTTCAAGGCACTGTCGAAGCATCTCGGGGAATCTTCAAGCGATGGAGTTCGCAATGATTGTGGCTAAAAATGCTACCGAAAGTGACCCAAACCATCTCAAAAGACTCTTCTGCATTTGTGCCGATTTGGAAAAGCCGAAACCGAAAGGCCGAAACTGCGTGGCGTATAGCAAGGAAGATTCGCACACAGGGCACAATTGGGTGAGTGCTTCGAGTGCTTCACGACAGCCTTTGCTACCAAGGCCTCTGGTCTTGGCGTTGTTAGCACTGTTGGCACTCCAGTCTGTTCCCAATTGGCACAGAGGTGCGAAATAGAAAATTGCTGGAATTATGTGGTCAAACCAAACATCTTCAACAGCCGTTTCTTGATCGCAAACGGACTGGATTGATGAAGGAATCTTGAAGACCCCAATTTCTTTGGTTTTTCCTCGTGCTCTGCAGTCAGCAGTCTGCTGTCAAAGGCTTGTCGTCATCAATAGACTTGCATGGAAGGCTCATGGCGTTCTAACAAACCCTTGGCGACAATCCCTCTGAGCAAGGTTGAAGCCAATTTGCAAATGGCCTACGGAATCTGACCTTCAGAACAAGGCCTGCATGCTGTTGGATCGACAAGGACATAATTCACACCATGACAGAAAATGTGCACTAAATGATAGGCTTGAAATGGTTCCTCTAATTTTGGTGATGGTGATAAGTTCGATGGAACAACACTTTGCACATGAAAGAAAGCAAATGAAACAAACCAAATTTGATTCAGTTCTTCATTCTCTGCACCGATGCCACACATTTCTGCTTATTGCAAACAGCACCATCGCATTCAGCACACTGACAATTCCTCAGGGATGAGTCTCAGCACACTTCACAGATCTGGTCAGGAATCACTTGTCTTGGACTTCATTTGTCTTGTTCCAATTTGACCATTCATAGATCCGTTGATCTACCACCCTTGACCAGCTTCATGGAACAAGTTGGAACGGGAAGTTGCGCACTCGCTGACAAATCTGACAAAGACAGCAGAACTTCAATGGACGAGAGGTTTTTTGGCGCTTCAAATGCGGACATCAAACGCATCGCGGAATGGGCCTGGCATCGTGGCACTGCAGGTTTGGCGCTTCTACCCCCTGCAATTTCTCACCGGTCCAGCAGTGACTATGGTCCGAACGTCAGTGACAAACACACGCAGATGTTGCGCACTGTGTTCCAAGTGTTCCAAGTGTTCCTAGCTCTTCAGAGCAACTTGCAGCTTAGAGAGCAAGATTGCTACAAGAACTCCAGGATCAGCACACACGAAAGATCTGGACATGGCGGGACAAATGTTTCAAATGTTGCAGAATGCACTAGGTGAAAGAAAACCAAAGAATTCTTGTTTTAAATTGGCCAACTGTCGAGCAATAGTTGTGTGCATCGTACTTTTTCCCCACATCTTTGTGTGGGGTTCTTGTTTTTGGTTCTGCACTCCCGCCTTCTCCTGCCCTCCTCCTCCTCCCGCCGCCCTCCTCCTCCACATCATCCACATCACACACAACTCTACTCACACACCTTGTCCTCAACTTGTCATCACACAACTTGCTCACACACAATTCAACTCACACACACAACTCTACTCACACAACTTGTCATCACACAACTTGTCATCATACAACTTGCTCACACACAACTCTACTCACACACCTTGTCGTCAACTTGTTCTACTCCCACTGCTACTTGTCCACACGACTTGTCATCACACAACTTGTCATCCACCTTGGTTTCATGTGGCAGGCGTGGTACTTGGTGACATCGACCTTCACTTTGTGTGGCAGGCGTGGCACGTATGGCATTGGGTTGGCTCCGGTGGCGCGCTTGGGCCGGAGTGGCCGGGGTGGCCGCCGCGGCTGTTGGCGTGGCAGGCGTGGCACTTTGCGACAGCCACCTTGGTTTCACGTCGCAGGCGTGGTACTTGGTGACATCGACCTTCACTTTGTGTGGCAGGCGTGGCACGTATGGCATTGGGCTGGCTCCGGTGGCGCGCTTGGGCCCGAGTGGCCGGGGCCGCGGCTGTTGGCGTGGCAGGCGTGGCACTTTGCGACATCCACCTTGGTTTCACGTGGCAGGCGTGGTACTTGGTGACATCGACCTTCACTTTGTGTGGCAAGCGTGGCAGGCGTGGCACGTATGGCATTGGGCTGGCTCCGGTGGTGCGCTTGGGCCGGAGTGGCTGGGGTGGCCGCCGCGGCTGTTGGCGTGCGCCGCGGCTGCTGGCGTGGCAGGCGTGGCACTTTGCGACATCCACCTTGGCAGGCGTCGCACGTAACACAACTTGTCCACACAACTTGTCCACACACAACTTGTCCACAACCGTGGCACGTATGGCATTGGGCTATTGGGCTGGCTCCGGTGGCGCGCTTGGGCCGGAGTGGCCGGGGTGGCCGCCGCGGCTGTTGGCGTGGCAGGCGTGGCACTTTGCGACATTCACCTTGGTTTCACGTGGCAGGCGTGGTACTTGGTGACATCGACCTCTTCACTTTGTGTGGCAGGCGTGGCAGGCGTGGCACGTATGGCGTGGCAGGCGTGGCACTTTGAGACGTCCACCTTCGTTTCACATGGCAGGCGTGGCACTTGGTGACATCGACCTTCACTTTGTGTGGCAGGCGTGGCACGTATGGCATTGGGCTGGCTCCGGTGGCGCGCTTCGGCCGGAGTGGCCGGGTGGCCGCCGCGGCTGTTGGCGTGGCAGGCGTGGCACTTTGCGACATCCACCTTGGTTTCACGTGGCAGGCGTGGCAGGCGTGGCACGTATGGCGTGGCAGGCGTGGCACTTTGCGACAGCCACCTTGGTTTCACGTGGCAGGCGTGGTACTTGGCGGCCACCCCATTCCGTCTTCATCACGCCCATGCCACCGCTCCGCTCGTGGAAAAAATAAGCGTGCTTGCGGACCTACCATACATGCATGCATGCATGCATGCATACATACATACATAGATACATACATAGATACATACATACATATATACCTACATACATACATACATATATATATATATACATACATACATCCATCCATCCATCCATGCACGCATACATACATACATTACATTACATTACATTACATTACATTACATTACTTACAGTACAGTACAGTACAGTACAGTACATTACATACATACATACAACACAACTTGTCCATACACAACTTACTCACACTTACTCTCCCACACACAACTTACTCCACACCAATCCTTCACCATCTCTTTTCTCTTTCCTGCTTTCCCCATGCCATCTTTACCTTTCTTTTGCTGCTTGTTGGAAGAAGTTGACATGTGGGGTTATCCGGTGCTTTAATTCATTCGTCGAACAGCATAGCAATAATGAATAATAATGACACAAGACTCACAAGACGGCTTCACTTGAGCCAAATCACCTTTGGAGATCTGATCAGAATTTTGAAGCTGCGAGCGATGAGATTGGGTTTGCAAGCGAAACAGGACATCCAAAAATGGAGATCTTCTAAAATCTAACCTTCAGATCCACCATGATCCACCAAGCCAATCATCTTCACATGCTTGGTTGCAACCCATGGTGGAAGAGTTGGAAAGTTGGGAAAAGATGATACAAAATACATCCAAATACATCAAGAGTCACAACATACGACGAAGTCACGACGAAACACAAAGCCGGAGTCTGCTCAAGGAGTCTGCTGACGACTTTCCAGAATGGACCGAAAGGTGCCCTTGGACATGCAAGTCATAAGTCATATGCACCAAATACAGCATCTAAGAGCTATCACAAAGGACCCAGTGCAACAAAAACATTGGAACCTATTTCACCTATTGGAACATATTGGAACCATTCATCCCGTCCACAGCGCTCAGCCGCTTCACCGGCCTTCTTCAAACCACCAGCCTCCCGGACACCGGCCAACAACCTGCCGTGCGCATCCCGACATCCCGACATGTCGAGATCTGAAGATCCACGCTGCTCGTGACAGATGTGACAGTGACATCAGTGACATCAGTGACATCAGTGACACTGCTCGTGTCCCATTTTTCTGGAGATCGTTGGTGCCAAACGGATGTATGGCAGGCCGGATCAAAAAAACAACATGCCAGGATTGATGGTCCGGCATCGGCGGAACCAACAATTCTAGGTGCACATCTTATGGATGTGGCGAATGCCATACGTCCCAGAAAGGGGCGCTGGAACTATACAATGCTATACACATCAGTTATCATCAGTTCCTCAGTCAAATTTCAACATCTACTGAATCTACTGGCTTTGTTGCCGGTTTCAAGTGCCGAGAGTCTCGGCTGTTCGCCAAATTGACTTTTAACTGAGTTCATAGAAAGCTTGGGACGGAGTTCAGAACCGTCAGGCAGTCATACAGCTAGGACGAAACAATCCAAGACTTGGTTATAAAGGTCTTTCAAGCTGACAATTTGGATTAAATCAATCCATGAGACACATGAAACCAATCACATATTCCGATCTTCCTGTGTAGGCCACTGACATCACCGAAATTCTTTGTCTTGTTTGCAGTGCTTTTTACATGAAAAGAATCCATAAGAACTATTCACTCCGGGAGAATAGCCTTGGCAGAACTGATCATATTGTTGTTTTTTCGCGCTATAAAATGATCAAAATGTGCTGGCAGTGATCTCATTTGTGAAGTCAATTTGCACTGGATGACATCGGCATCCGCAAGCTGATTTTGTTCGCATCCGACCATGTGCAAAAACAAACCGGCCCAGCTTTTCGGGGCAGCCTACACAAAGGTGGAAAGTGATAGGTATTCGACATGGACTTTGTCCCAAATCAACACGAGGACAAGAAGAATAAAAAATATAACAAATTATAAGGGCATAAACCAGTTCTTGACCGTGACATGTTGAGACTATAGGGTCGTAGGGCAGGTAAATGACATTATATGACGGTAAGTGTCAATATAGCCAGCTGAACCGGATTTTGGCAATGGTCAAATGGCATCTTGAAAGAAAAGCGCCAGTTCTCTGAACGAGACTCTTGCCGCAAATTCTCAGCGCGGTCCTCGCCGCTACCAATTGACCTGGCCATCTCAAACAATGCAGCACATCTCAGCTTTAAGAAGTGGTATTGAAGTTTCTTAAAGGATTACTGGGTATATATACAGCAGGGTAATTGCTAAACAGTGATAAACATAAATTTTCAAAATGATAGCGCTCAAGGCGCTGTGTCGAAAGGGTCCAGGGTCATTGGACATTGAGTTCTTGCGACCTCCGGGGCCTTTGCAGGAAACACGCAGGGCATTCCCTCAGCGCATTCTTCGCATGCGAACTGGGGAGCCAGTCCCGCGGCTTGTCATGCAGCAACGACGGACAGCCGGACAGCCCTGTGCCGCTGGAGATGTGATGGCTAGAACTAATCCCTTCCCCGGTTCACATTAAACACCGATGAGGATGAACCTAAATTGTGAACAAAGAGTGGGGGTGTTGAATGTGAATAGGGGATGGGACTAAAATTCACAAAAGGCTGAAGAGGAGGGACCAAATGACCAAATTAAATACGTTGTTTCACGTTGTTTCGCGTTGTTTCACGTTGTTTCACCAGAAAAAAATGTTTCACAATGAAAAATCCCAAATGGCATGTCATCACCAGCTTAGCTTTCGACCTACCACATGGGGGCAGATCAGATCGCGCCCGAGAGTCTGATGACCTGACATCCGATCTCCCAGTATCGCGATGTACCGCGATTGTTCAAAGTTTCACCACGTCGGGGCGTCACATTGACTTCAAAACCGGATCTGAGATCCGGATCGCCCTCAACACATGCTGCTGCCAAATGCTCCACGGCTCAATATGGCTCAACACTCACACCAATCGGGACTTGGCAAGCGCTCGAAATGAGCTTCACCTTGCACAACACCTCGGCGGCACCAAAACCAGGCCTGATCTCATCACCGTTGAATTTTATCATATTTTATCATGACGTCCTACGACGTCATGCTGCCAAGGAATGATCTCTGGAATGGTTTTTCGTGCCCCGCACAAAAAAGTCTGTCTGTACGTATATGTAGGTATATTATATATACCTTGATTCTCCAATGACCGTGAATTTCTGGTGCCTTTCAAGCAAAATTGCATTTTTTTTCTCCAAAAGTACCTTTTTTGAAATCAAGTACTGTTTTTTGCATGTTAATGATGTTCACTCATGGAGGTGCAGCTGAAACTGTGGAAATCAAATAAACGTGCCACATTGCCAACTTGCAACTCATTGTTGCAGGTGCCATTTTTGTTTTGGCTGCTTGAAGGTGCAGGAGCAAAGATTTCCAAAGTATTGGTTCTCGTTTACGTGTTTGATGCCATGGTTTCGATCTTCCTTGCTTTGGGTTTTGGACGCGCTTTGCTCTTTCATTATTGCACGCATGAGGGTAGGTCTAACACTCAGTTGCGGACATGCGGGTGCATTGCTCAATTTTGGTGACAGCTTGTCCTTGGAAGATTTGCCCATACAACGAAAACATGCAAAGGCCTTTTGTTCTTCAAACGTACCTTTTTTTGCTGAGGGCCGTCCGGACGGCGTCCGAAAGTACGGAAATATCCGTCCAGCTTGGACCCGTCCGAACCGGAACAGCTTTTTTCAAAAACACGCACCTTTTTTTCATGTCCGTCCGTCCATCCGTCAAAGCTGTTTCAGCAGCTGGCACCACAAGATCAAGGCGAGTGGATGTGCTCAAATCCCATGTATATTTTCACATAAGTGTCGCAATGTGCAAATGTTTGCCCCCGCAGCTCATTATAAAAAGCAGGCGAAGGTTTTATATTTCGACACGAATTGTGGATCCAAAGCTGTTCAGCCATGAAGTTTTAGTTATGTGCCTGGGTCTGAATGATGTGTGAGGGTGCCTGATCCAATATCAGACAGGACAAGCACAAAACGCTCACATGATTTAGCTTAGTAATGCTTAGTGTATATAGCCAGCACCTGCTTGGAAGATAAAAGGTTTTTTTTGCATGAAACGCCCCCAAAAAGTATCAAACGTACCCAAAAAAGAGGTGTTTTGCAAACGACCCCAAAGACAAAGGGTAGTGGAGACTCCAGGTATATATATATATAATTAATATTTTAAAGCTATCATGCAAAGCGTCAATTGTCGCGCCTTTCTGTTATCTTCTCAAGACATACCACCTTCTTCGCATTGCTGCCTCCCCAAAAGCAGTGCTTGCCACGACTTGTTCAAACGCAGAAAACCCGAAGGGGCACCAAGAAACAAAGAAACGCTGTAATTTCCGCATTTTTCCAGATGAATATACCCTCAACACCTCTGCTCCACAGAATGAACACCTATTACTAAAACATACATGGCGTACGTTTTGACACATTGTTAGCCTCTACCAACTATCATTTCATTCATCTTCTGATTCCCGTCACTGGCATAAAAACCCAAAATAGCTCACGCAAGTTCAACCAAAGACATTTGATCGTATGTTTTCACACCTGTCACATGAACCTGACCATCTTGAACCTTTCTGCCTTGTACAACATACAAAAGCCATATGTCACATCGCGCCAAAGAAACCAACCTAGCAAACCCAAACTCCAAACTCCTACCTGCCACTTCCTATGGGCCAAACCCGACCTCAAACTGACAGGGAAAAAACGCAATTTAACAAACGCACACAGACACAAAATTTACCACATGAACCAGAAAACAAAAAACCAGAAACACCATTGCCAACAATAGTTACCAAGCTTTCTGCCACCCGAAATCAACCTCAGTGTGACATCCAACTACCAGGCACCAAACACCGCTTTTTCAACCTTTTAAAATTTGTCTCCAAAAAAAACCGTTTGCTCCCGTCTTGCTACATGTTCTGCCTGCGTCGCCTGCATCCCTCTCCGTTCCTGACCTACCCCTGGCCATTCGGGTAGAAATAACAAGCCAGACTATGTACCCCAGATGTCTAAAGACAGTCCGCCCAAACAGTATTTTGATAATAGAACAGATTATATATGTATATATATATATATGTATGTATGTATGTATGTATGTATGTATGTATGTATATATATATATATACAAGCGCCGTACTTAAGTCACATCAGGCGGGAAAAGTCACATCATCCCCATGGCACGGCGGCGATACGGAGAAGTCACATCAGGTAGTGGAAAGTCACATCAGGGAAGAAGAATCACCATGGCACAGCCTGTTTCATCTATAATTGGAGATGTAGTTAAAAGTAGCCGAAGCATTGCGCACAGCGATGATTTTGAAGGGCGCAAGTTGGTACAAACAAATTTTCGGCAGCTAATCCTATTGGATTTGAATATATTATATTGATGTCCTGCGTCGCGTGACCAAATCAAACCCCTATTGGTACAGCCTCAAATTTCTTGCAATGCAAATGGATTAGCTGTAGCAAATCCTATTGGCAGGGCTATGATCTAGGATGATATAAGGATATGGGGGTCCCTTGTTTTCCGCAACCAAATCTATGGCTGGCGCGATGTGCATCAATGTCGTGGACAGCTCTCAAGAAGTTTGTTGTCCTATTCACCCAGGAATTACGAATTGGAAAAACCTTCATTCCATTGCGGGCGGAAAGCGTGGCAGGTTTTGTTGGTGCTCCGTCCACGCAAGCAAGCAAGCAAGCAAGCAAGCAAGCAAGCAAGCAAGCAAGCAAGCAAGCAAGCAAGCAAGCAAGCAAGCAAGCAAGCAAGCAAGCAAGAGCAGCAAGCAGCAAGCAGCAAGCAGCAAGCAGCAAGCAGCAGCAAGCAGCAGCAAGCAGCAGCAAGCAGCAGCAAGCAGCAGCAGCAAGCAGCAGCAAGCAGCAGCAGCAGCAGCAGCAGCAGCAAGCAGCAGCAGCAAGCAGCAGCAAGGAGCAGCAAGGAGCAGCAAGGAGCAGCAACAACAGGCAAGCAGTAGGTGAGCGGCAGGTGAGCAGCAGGTGAGCAGCAGGTGAGCAGCAGCAGGTAAGCAGGAACAAGTAGCAGCAAGCAGCAGCATGGAGCAGCAAGCGGCAGGCAAGCAGCAGGTGAGCAGCAACAGGTAAGCAGCAACAGGTAAGCAGCAGCAAGCAGCAGCAAGTAGCAGGCAAGCAGCAGGGAAGCAGCAGGCAAGCAGCAGGCAAGCAGCGGGCAAGCAGCAGGCAAGCAGCAGGCAAGCAGCAACCAGCGTTTGCCCCGTTGAAAGAATGATCAAATATATTTTCAAAAAATCAACGCAATAAAAAAAAATGAACTTTTTCCAGGCGCACGGCCCCAAAACGAAGAAATCGTTCAATTACTAAAAGTTGTGGTGATGCCAAAATTGAACTTTTTCCAGGCGCACGGCCTCCCGATACGACTTTTACGAGCTGATACGACTTAACGCTAGCGCTTGTATGTATAATTGTTATAGTTGTATATCTGTATATATGTATATATATATATGTATTAATTATATTACATATAGACTTATACAGTACAGATATAAAAGATCTGGAGTATGTATACAGCAACTTTTCAAGCAGAATTGACCAAGTGGCTTGCATTTGAAGTGGTCTGCCTAGAATACGATGAGTTCGACCTTGCTATGTGGCTGATCAGACTGATCAGACTGATCATGATTCCCTTGAAACTTTGCGGACATGTTTCGATCAACTTCAAATCCCAAATTGGAGGATTTCGATTGTTGGTTTGACAGGATCAGGTGGATCAGAATATATAAAATGGCGAATAAATGGTGTAGATTGCCAGGTGGTAAGCTGTTCCACGATGTTCCCATGCAATCATCGCTGCGAGTGACGACGTCGGATCAGGGCGTGGGAGTGGAGTATCGATGTTCAGGGCTGCCAGCAGGCCTTTCTTCCTATCGCCTGCGTGGTGCAGCCACCATCCCGAGAAGTGTGAAGCAAGCCATCTTTCGATTCAAGCCATGTGATATGTCCAGATATGTCCAGAAGCAAAATTTCATCTCGTTGAAACATGTTGAAACCGAGGCTTCTCCTTCAATTCTTAAAGCTACAGCAATGCCATAATATGTATCCTAATATATCCTAATATTAATGTGCTTTGCTGAAGCAACATGAAACAACTACAGTATATTATGGCTTCCGTTAGGAACTCCCAAAAGAGCGACCAGCAACAAAGCAGCAAAAACATGCAAAAACAACAACACGATGACAGTGACAATTAAATGACAGATCAATGACAGATCAATGACAGCAATAGCAAGAAGAAATCCATAGAAATCCTGAACTGTAACAAGTTGGCCCAGGAACATGCTTGAACTATGACAACTTGGTGAACCAACCGCTGAAAAAAAAATCGCCTTTGGACCTCTTCTGTGGACGATGTGAGCGGCACATCTCGGCAAAGTCTTCACTGCTGGGAAGCGTTGCCGGTTTCGACTGAGCCATGGGCTCCCTTAGACAAAGCCGAGGCAGTGACCCTTCAAGGAGTTCATTAGACGTTCTTTAAACAATATTAAACAATATTAAACAATATTAAAGGTATTTAAAGGTTCATTACAACCATTTACAACACACATCAACAAGCTATGATCGTACATTGAATCGTATGCACATTGTATATCACATTCTACGTCACATCGTACTGTGAAATCCGTGTGAAATCTGTGAATTCGCAGAAACTTGCCACCGGCCCCCGGATTACGGGTCCAAGCCCTCTACCGGTGCAGGAGAGTTGAGGCTTCGAATGACTTCGAATGACTTCGAGGCTTGTCACACCGGACTGTCCTAACTTTGTACAACTTTCGAGCCAAACGCAAACGTCACACATTCATACAAATTCATCGAAGGCTAAAGGCAGACTTTCGACTTGTATCGGTTTGGAGTGTTGCACAAGTTCAGCGAGTTCAAGCGCAGTTCATACCTTGAGAGCTTGAAGCATCTTGAAGCATCTTGGAGCATTTTGAAACACTTCATGGATCTTCATGGCACTTGCACAGAACAGCCCTGGGACTGCCATGTTTGTGGCACCTGTCGTGGACCCGAGTCAAAAGTCGAGGCACTGAAGGAAAAATCGTTGGTCGCAGGGCCTGAAACACCATGAATCAAGAGGCTCCGAGGCTCTCAGGACAGGATAGATATCTCTTTGAAAACATCTTGGGACGTAGACATGGGATTGGATGGGATTGGTACATTTGGATACATTTGGATACATTTGGATACATTTGGATACATTTGGATACATTTGGATACATTTGGCATCTTTGGTTGTATGTCCGGTATGTTTGGTTGCCTGCAAGTCGTCCACAATCTTCAATGTGTCACCCTGGTAGAAGCCAATTGCAGCTCCGCCAAACACGGAACCAAACCTCAGTCCCAAGATGTCCCAACCAGCCAAGCACACCTTCGTTAGCTCAACATACAAACTTGTAGACCTCTAAACGGGACTCGCGAGTTTGTGGAAGTCCATGGTGCAAACAGCATTTCGTGATATTTCGTGTAACTGTTCTGTGGATTCATTTCTTCTTTGACTTGGAGGCTTCTGCTCACTTGCTAGCCTTGCAACCTGGGCAGTTTTTTACTGCAGCATAGAAAGCCTCTTGCGGCACATAGATTAGCCTTGCTCTAATGTGCCAGGATTGTTTTTGGGACGCTGCTCCACAATCCACAGCTTCACAATGCTGGTGCTTCCAAGTCATGGCTCTGACTGTGGCCCTTTTAGATCCTTTTAGCAACTCAGGTCTCCATAGGTCTCCCATCTCCCTTGAGAATCTGACTGCACCATGCGTTCAAAGATGTGAGGCAGTGGTAGGTATGACAGCAACACATCGTTGCCAGTGATTGTGGTGAACGGCTTCCTGCGCGGCGTGGCCGTGGCGGTCGCTCGGGTGGGTTCCTGGGGTTTTTTGGAGGTTCCCATGTGGTGTTCATCGGCTTAGGAACTTTACGAACTTTACGAACTCGCCGGGGATACCACCTGGGCTTATTCCAACATCTCCAACTTTGCCGAAGAAAAGGACGAGGATGGAGGAGGCCTTCCACGAGAGGCTCCAAAGGCTGAGGCCAAATTCTCATGCCTGGTACGAGTAGCTTCATGTGGCAGGTGCAGTGCAGAAGATTGGACAATTCGACGTGTTGACGGATGTGTTTCCAATGTGTTTTTTGTTTTTTTTAATACGAGTTTTGGCACCTAAATTACCTAATCATACCTAATCAATCCTGATCATACGTAATTACTTAAATAATCTTAAATATCTTAAATGGAATCAGACACCTGGGCTGCCACACGTGACCAGCACTCCCTTTGGGTCGCCCGTAGTGCCAGAGGTGTAGCAAAAAGTGAGGATGTCCTGGGGATCCCCGGGGCGATGAACTAAAACATGGTAAAACTATGCAAATATCGTGTCAGATCATCGTAAAATAATGTAAACTAGTGATCTAGATCTAGATATCGTATATGGGTCATATGATATCATATGATATTATATGATATTATATGATATTATAAGATATTGTAAGATATTCTAAGATTAAAAGACATCCCATTTTGCTGGAGAAAACTGTTTCATGTACATCGCGATTGCGCTTGTACCATGGTCCACCTGTGGACTGGGCGCCAGGTGCTGCCGTGGCTTTGCAGATCCGGCCTTCTCCACCTATCCAGCTTCCAGCTACATCCAGCTACATCCAGCTCCCATTGGGATCCCAGTGGGATCCGACTTTTGATTTCAATCTTTCAATCGGTTTTCAATTGGTTTTTGTAACGTAACCGTCCATTTTTGGCGTTGTGCAACGTTGGGGTTGGGGACATGAGCTAAGAATGGAGATCCAGAGTCCGTTGATTGAACCAATTTTCGAATCCACGGTCCACCTCCTCGACACTCAGAGCCTGAAGGCCAGCATCAGTCACCTGCGCAGGATCTCGGTAGAACATGATATAACACCTTTCAACAAAGAACGTAAAACACCTCACAAAACGCACAACTGAACAAAGTAACAAAGAACGGTCAAAAAATACGATGACATATGATGACATATTTTAATTATTATCAATATGGACAACAGCACTGAGGTGTGGTCGAGTGCTCACCTTCTTCTTCAAGTCTTCAGTCAGATCCATGACGATAAGACCTTCATATCGACAGCTCCCAATGCGCTGAGACTTGAGACCGACACAACAAGACTTCAGCTCTTTACAGACTTTTTTAACACCTTTTCATTGCATATTTCATCATCTTTCACCATATAATTCTCTTCAGAAATCTGTCGGCAACGTTTGCTCCTCAGCTCATGACTTGTCTAGGTTTGCTTGCACAGGTTTGCACCGTGTCCATAGGTTTCCAGGTTGAGGGGACTGCTCTGTCACCGGAGCTCCCCGACACTCCAGGGAAGGGGAGGAAGCCTTGCAATCCACGGCCATATTCAAAGTGGCGGCCTCAGCATAACTCCACTACAGTGCTTCACTTTGGAAAATCCACTGTTCAGCAGAATTGTTTCAAGTTGTTCCTGTTACTTCAACGTCTTCTCCAAAATCTTCATTTCTGCTACACTTCTGCTACACTTCTTTGTTTCATTTTGTTTCATTTTGTTTCATATTCTGAAGCTCGCACCGAACAAAGGACTGTCTTCAGACCACACTGCTTTACAACGTAGGCGACACCTTGGTGGCAGCGGGATTTCTGCTGACCCTATGGCCTTGATCATAGGCTTGATATGGCTTGATGATGAACATGTGCCACCAAACACCAAACAAAAAAAAGTTGGGGTTCTTGGAAGCAAGGTTGAGAAAATGAGCTGCGTCTTTTCACAGAGTGGACCTGCCAAAATGTTTCGGCTGCATTGGTTCACAGCCTTCCTCTTCCTTGCGAATCACATAGGGGGGAAACTGGGTAAATAAAGAGGTAATATGGCCAACTTCTACCTCTTGTTACATGTATCATTTACCTGTAAAGGGTTGGAGCAACCAATTTCACGACGTTGCAATTTCACTTATTTCGCGCACGAGTTTGTACTGCCATCTAACTCAAATTTCAAATCCCGACTTGGTGAATCCGATCAAGATGATCCAGCCTAAGCAATCCCTTTTTTAGCAGCTCGACTGAGCAGCTGGACTGTCTGCTCCCAGGGTGTCATACATGGGCACCGTCACAATGGACTGGCGTCACAAGGGGGCTGTTGGAATCGCTTGGGATGGTGGGATGTGCCATGCCAAGGTGTCAAGATCTTTCAATATCCTTTAATCATTTTGAATCATTTTGAATCAAGTGTACCCTCTGGTTTTTTTCTGTCACATAACATCACAGAACATCACATAACTATGGAAAGATCCATCCATTTTGATCATTTTGTAGCTGGCTAGTCATCAACTGGATCTTCGTTGACTCACCTTGACTCACCCAGAACTCACCTCCCAAGATCCGCCTGGGTGAAACAGCCTTGTTCAGCGATCACCTGTGAACTGTGCTGAAAAAGCGGCGAAAAAATGGGAGAAAAGCAACAAAGCGAACTGGGGAGACCCACCCATTCTGGTCGATTCTTGGCATAGATCCTGAAAATCTCAAAGAAACGCGTCGAAATATCGAAATGATTCTGCAAGACATGTGTCATGGTACGAAAAATGTCGAAGTGCAAAGAGGATCAAAGGATCAAAGAGGTGGTGCACTTCATGCCCACAGCGAATACAGATGAATACAGTATGTGAGCCCTGACGCTTCATACATCTTCACACTCCATAAATTCCTTATACTTTCAGATCTGAGACAATCGGAGTCTTGACATGTCTTGACTAGGCCTCCCAACCCCAACATGCCGCGGTTTCGGATTTCTGGGTCTGGGCGTGCTGGACCTCAGCACTGAATGTCTGACTCGGACCAAGTCGAGTCGAGTCATGTCGAAATTTCTTCGGGCGGCAGAGGTCCAAGTTCAGTAGCCCTGATCCAAAATTCTCAGACCTCGGACCAGTCGGAGATAGTCGGAGATAGTCGGAGTCGGGCTGACACACCATGCCACCATGCCGCGCAGGAGAGAGTTACCCTCTGGTCATCTCTGGTCAACTGTCACATAACTATGGAAAATATTGGAAAGATCCACCCATTTTGTAGCTGGCTAGTCATCAACTATTTCGACTGGCCATGGCTTCAATAGCGAACTGTTAGTTTACCAGAGGGTACCCTGAGTTGCGTGCCTCTTGCCAACCTCTTCAAAGGTGCTCCAAACCTGGCGACGGAACCACGGAAATGGCTGGGTGATAGCGACAATCGCTCTGAGCTTCCCAACATAAGGACCAGCGGATCCATCTGCAGCGATCGGCCTTCACCAAACGACTGTCGTGAAACGACCAAGCTGAAACGACCGTGGCGGCCAAAAGGTGGCCCCAAAAAGCGGCCTGTGCCCAAGAAAAGGTCGCTGTGGATACTTGCGTCGAGCGTTCTGGAAGTTCTCGTAAGATGTTTTGATCTGACAACAATTTCGCGGAAAAAAAAACTGTTCCCCGAACTTCCGAGCCACTTGTGGAAGTCCAAAGACTCTTCAAAAGACACTGAAAACCACATCGCATGCGACAGTTTCTTCAGCAACGGCGGCAGCTGAATTCGAAAGGTGCTGCCACCTCAATAGCCATCATAGAAAACGTATTCTGCACCTGCTCACCAGATTCTTCATCAAACAGCGCAAGCACAGGCTCCTAGCCCAAAGGATCAAAACCCAGAACCCCCTGAACCCACAACCAATCCCATGCAGTGGCTAGTCATGGTTTTAAACGGCCAATTCTTGAGATAGGCAAATGCCATGACTCCATGTATTCGATGAACAAAATCATCTGTGAACTCAATGCCAATATATGTCACATGATGATTCACATGTCAATACTGTCGCCAGAGGTTTAGATTTCACCATATTTCACCTTTGCTTCAAACATCAAACATCTTCAAACATCTTCAAACATCTTCAAACCATGTCCCCTCATCATGTCCTGTCCATCGCAAGCACGGTGCGATGGGCCCCAACCAGCTTCAGGATCCTGTGGCGAGGTGTGCGTCGTTTCTGTCGTTTCTGCGAGACGTGATCCATCGCAACCTCTGTGCCGGGCACTTCGCGGGAGAACACCGCCATGGCTGCAACAAAATGTCAAACTAAGGCCAATGCAAAACATATGCTTCTTGAATGATTCATACATGAAATTCAAGTTTTGAAGAAGACCCCTTGAGAATGGAGTGGAATGCAGCACCTATCACAACTGTAGTGTTTTGAAAAGAATTCTATGGAATTGTACCACTAAATCTGGATATAGTCGGATAATAGCTTGATCATTCCAAAGTACAGAATCCATCGAATTCCGTCGCCGGGCTTTTGAAAGTGGTCCATGGATGTGGTCTCTTTACGTTGCATGTTTTGATGTTTTGATCCTCCAGTCGATGGAAAAGTGGTCCTGGAGAAGGGGCTTAGAACTTGGGAATGTCATGAGAATGGGAGATAAACAGCTTGAGTGGCTTAGAAACCAATGAATCAATATGAATCATGATGAGCACGTGAATTATGTGAATTCCTTTGCTACTGAGCTCCAAGTCAAACGCTCCATTGATTGCCAGTTTCAGACCCATCTGCTGAGCCTGCCTAAATACAACAGGGTGCATGTTGTGTTCGTTCGCTGCGCCCGCTCTAGCTCCATTCCCTGTCGACATCAAGACACGAAGAACTCACAGCGCAGCAAGTTGTAGCCTGTAGAATTTTGTGAAGATTCTCAAGGGCATTTGACAGCTTGATTTTGCGGAACTTATTCTCAAACACCTTTAGCGCTTTAAACCTTGAATAATCCTTGCTCATGGGCATTGTGGAACTGCTTCCGAGAACTTCCTATGGAAAAGCTTCCAACTAACCAGTCCTCGAACACGTGGTCTGAATTGCCTATCTTTCAAAATCCTCCCACCTGAGGGCCTTACCTTCGCCTACGCATCGGATGGAACCTTGTTCTTGGGGACCTTCCTCTTCTTCTTCTTCTTCAGAGAATCTCTTTTTTCTGTCTCTTGTAACCTTACCCTTGGGTATATGGGAAAATATACAATATATGTATATCTATATCATAAATCATATCTGTATTTCGAGATGTGTGTTACAACGTGTATATGTATATATATATATATATACATGTAATATGTATGTACACATACATGCTGTGTATATATAGTGTTTCTATATACACATCTGTATACACTTACATAAATCATAGTAAAGTAATATAGTAACATAGTGATATGATGTAATACGTGCATATATATATATATATGCTGTATATATATATATATTAGCTTTTTTAAAAGTCTCGTAAACATATTTTTGTTATCTAGCGTACGTGTAGTGACGAGTGACATGAACGGGGGTATGAACGTGTGTGTGAACGACATGCGTGCGAGTGAACGTACGTGCGAACGTGTGTATGCACGAGTGAGCGTACGTGCGAGCGAACGTGTGAGCGTACGTCCGTGCGTTTGCACGGTCACTCGCCACGTGCGCGCGCACGTACGAAAATAAGGTCGACTTGAGTCGACCTTATTTTTGCACGACCCTGCCTCTTTAGTATTGATTTAGTATTGTAGCGCTTTGCACGTACAGAAATAAGGTCGACTCCAGTCGACCTTATTTTCGTACGTGCGCGCGCACGCGGCCAGTGAACGTGCAAACGCACGCACGTACGCGCACACGTCCGTCCACTTGTACGCACACGTCCGTTCACTCGTTCGCTCACACGTGCACTCGTCCGTTCACTCGTTCGCCTTACGTTCGTCACCACGTCCGTTAGCCACTCGTACCCCCTACGTTCACCGCGTCTCTTGGAGCTTTAAAAGCATTGTTTACGAGGCTTAAAAAAAGCTAATATATATATTATATTATAATATATTATATGTCACTATATTGGGTGGATTTCCAATTTGACATCACCATTGGTTCAGCTGGAATTGGAAACTCAGCGAAGCTGCAAAACCACATGGTCCGCAGACCCAGGACCCATACGCATTGGATGGGAAGCACATTGTGGGGCTTGAAGCACAATAGAAGCACCCAGGATACCAATAGAATTCAATAAGATTCAATAAAAAACAATAAGATTCAAGAATATCCAATGAGATTCAATAAGATTTAATTTATCATATCTTTAATTATATCTTTCACGACATATATCCTGAAGTCCTGACACCTTGCAATCTTTTCCCGGTAACATGAGATTCATTTCTTCGAAATGATCTACAAAGCACTGGAGCGTCTCATTCGCAAAACGGACGACAAATTCTGAAGGGGATTCATATGGATTCATGGTAGGCTGGCTGAAAAATCTGAAAATAGAAACAGAACAACTTCAGAAAGCTTTTGCAAAATCTCGTTCCAGTGAGGTTTGCTTCCCGGTCAGTGATGCTTTTGAAGCCACCAACCATGGCAAGCAGCGCGTTTAGCGCGGTTACCAAGCAAACCAAAAGAGGCCCCCATGGCCGACGTGCCGACATGGCAAGCGCATGCGAGGCAAGCGCGAGGCTCGACTCTGGTCTCAAGATGTCTCAAGCACCCGGCACTTCTCCTGGCATCACTTCCCTGCGAAAGTGGCAACTTGTTGCATCACGGCACTCACGACAAACTCATGACAAAACTCACGACAAATTACACATCTGTATGCCGTGCAGCTCACTACTCAGTCACTACTCCAGAAAACTCTCTAGGTCTCGCACTCAGAGTAGACACTTGCCTTTGAAGCCGTTCGATTTGTCCTTAGACTGATACTTGTCGAATCTTGTCGACTACGAAAACACACAGACCCATGACTTCACCACCTGTCAGGCGTTCCTGTTGAACGGACATGTTGAGAACTTGACACCCGCTGCAGAGTCAGCTTGAGCATGTCCTTGCAAAAAAACGCTGTACTGAATTACTGAATGTTTCGGAACTAATTACAAAGTCAAAGAACGTCAAAGCAGCACGCAAACTTGTCATAACTCTTCAATCGAACTTCTACAGTATCTTTTCTTGGTGGAATTTGGTGGAATTTGGTGGAATGCGGAAGCTCAGACTTTCAACTCCTCAGCCGATGATATCGCATCAAACAGATTATTGGTCTTGCCCTGGCGCGACCACTACAAACAAAAACAACATGCCACAACGTCAAAGAGAGGAGACGACAACATACGACAACTATAATACATAATATTACATATGGTATGCACTGCGATCCACACATTCCGCATGATCATGGGAGAAGGAATTTTAGATAAAACATGGAGGCAGACGTCCACTTTCACGATGCAGTCCCCAAGGCGGACCTAGCGCTGAGGCGCCGAAGGAACTCCGAATCGAGGACCGTTTGAGGACTCTGAGAGCTTCACAGCAAAATATGGATTTGCCCGATTCCAGGCTGCCACCTAAGCTCCAAGTGCCGAACGGCGGAAATCTCAACAAAGTGTGTAGAGATTGTTTAGAGGTCTGAGATGGTCTGAGTTTAAAAGCCAAACCATCACCAATGTACTCCACTCGCAACCTGCAACGGTGCACAGTGAACAACCAGTGAACGACCTCACTGAAATGCTCCGCCTCGAACCGTCCAGTTCTGGAACTACATCCAGATATAGTTTCTCCAAGTGGACTGCCTACCCAAACAGCTGTTCCAAAGCTGTTCCAAGCTGCAACTCATAATACTCATATATCATCTGTCAAATCATTTATTGTTTAATGTCATTCCTATGTCATGTCTATGTCATTTCTATGTCATGTCTATGTCGTTTCGAAATGTTTCGTTTCACCGTTGCATTTTCTGCGAAAGCGCCTGTGGGTTTACTGTACCTGCATGTCGCCGATGGCCGCGAGGTGCCACCTCGAGAAATGGCACCGATTTTCACCGTGTTCGTGTCATTTTACCCTCTGGTAAACTAACATAACTATGGAAAATCACCATTTTTAATGGGTAAATCCACTATAAATCACCATTTTCAATAGCTACGTTAAATTACCAGAGGGTAATTCATTGTGTGTCTAAGCTTTGGACGAATTGAGCCTTCCGCACAGTGACCACAAATTCATAGGTTCCTTTCCACAGTGTTCAGTCTGTCTCTTTCCACTTCCCATTTTTGTCTGCAACTGTTCACAAAATTTCACAAATTCATCTGAGTAAGGGCACCCGTCACACGCTCCAGACGGCGGAGCGCTGCTTTCTGCTTGGTATCCAGGGGCGTTGGCTCGATCGCGGCTTTGCCCATCCTGCGAGCATCGAAGAGCGATCTCGCGCCAGAGGCGCGCTGCCGCTGGCGCGATCTGAAAACCGTCCCTGGGGCTCCGTGCACCGTTTTGCGGAAGACCGATTCAGGCATACTCACACCTGGTGTTGAACTTCAAGTGACAAAAGTTGAGCCAAAAGTTAGAAAAAAGTGACAAAAGTGACGGCAGGTTTGACATTTCAGTGCTAAGGTGGTGCTTGACCTATGACATCCTATGACTACTATTGAGTACACTTGATAGTATTGAGGTACTATATATAGTACTTGCTTATATGTGCTTATATGATGGAATAATATGTAATATTGGCTGAGCTTGTGACAATGCCAAGTTTGCAAGGCATCGTCCAGGCAGTTGAAGTCATACTCACCCAAGGACATCAGGATCGGCTTGTCAGCCTCACATGCTGTCACAACATGTTACCCAAGTTGTCTCTCTCTTTTGTTGTGCCGCAGTGCCACATCCAATGCATCAATGCGAATCATTGATACTTGATGCTACTTGATGCGACTTGGCTGCCTGACATCTGCTTCTTTCAGAAAATTCGCTGGACATGGACCACACAGGTGCCGATGTGCTATGGCTGCTATGGGCTATGGCCTTCTCTCGCAGTGGATTCCGGAAAAAGGCGCCAGTGCCAGGATGGCCTAAACAACGGGCAAGAAAAGGGCGATGATAGCTATGCGATAGCTACTATATGTTGCTATTCTGGATAGTTTTCGCTACTATAGCTGTCACTCCTAGTCTGCCCTTCTTGTTTTCTTGGGTCCTTCTTTGGCGTTCTCGCGTTCCGCTGAATGCTGTGGGCCGCACGCAGGAATTCGTCATCGGCGTTGGCCTTGTTGGGCTTTGGGCCTTCTTCCTGAGCCGGAGAAAATGTGGCAACGTGGCACACGGCAAAGCAAAAGCATCAAAAGCATCAAAAGCAGCAAAAAACCGAAAAAAAAAAACTACGTTCCGCTCTCGCCTCCTCTGCCATGGCACCTGAGACAAAGATAGACAAAGTGGGAAATTCAAGTCATGTCAACGTTGAGTTCTGTCAAGTGTCGAGTCAAACCACAAGCAGCCAGACCTGATTGTGACAAGTCCAGAGAAATTTGAGCCCTGCTGCGGAACATGGAAACAGCCGCAGGTTTCAGCCACTCCAATGGAACCAACAGCTAACAGCTGGTGGCTCCAATCACAACATATTTATAAACTTCTCTTGCTCCAGTCTGTCTCTAAATGAACCCCAAAATCCCCAAAGAATTCCGTGCCGTTTTCGATTTTTCAGCGAAACATTGAACATGTTCGACCTTGACCTGCTTCATATGTACAGGGGACTGATGGGGACTGTTTCGAACCAAGCATATCTGTTGCTACTTGTTATGCAAAACAACGATCTTCCAAGCTCCGTGCAATGTGCCTTCCTTTGAGGCTTTGCATAGCAGCTTTGTGCAATGGGTGTTGGCTCTGAATGCTCGGCTTCGTTGCTCATTTGCTAAGACTTTCGCATGAAGATCTTGAAGATCATGAAGTGAATTTGCCATATTTTGCCATGGTGAGAAGCCTCACATCATATGAAATCAACGCTTGACGCTTGCGTCGCTTGCGTCGCTTGCATCGCTTGCTGCGTCTCACGTGTCTCACTTTCTCTCGCCTGAACGGAGTGATAGCAGGAATCAGTTGTAACTACTTCAGAATAAATCAGATTTCGCACATTTCAAACAAAATCAATATTCACCCCGCTTCGCGTGGGGTGGCCGCCCACACCGCAAGTTTATTTCGGTCCGTGAGAGGGGCTAAGGGTGGTTTTCCCCCGTGGGGGCTCCCCAAGCTAAGAATTTTCACTTTCCCTCCCCGTGGGGGCTCCCCAAGCTAGGGAATTTTCACTTTCCCTCCCCGTGGGGGCTCCCCAAGCTAGGGAATTTTCACTTTTCCCCTCCGTGGGGGCTCCCCAAGCTAGGGAATTTTCACTTTCCCCCCCCCGTGGGGGCTCCCCAAGCTAGGGAATTTTCACTTTTCCCCCCCCGTGGGGGCTTTCCAAGCTAGGGAATTTTCACTTTTCCCCGCCGTGACAGCTTCCCAAGCTATGGAATTTTCACTTTTCCCTCCCTTGGAGGCTCTCCAAGCTGCGGAATTTCAAATAGCTAGACAACGACGCCTAGATAGTCCCCCAAATCCCGTGTTCTTTGAATGTGTTTCCATGTTTTTGCAATGGTTTCCTTCAAAGCACGGTACTTTACACTTTTGTCGCCATAAAACCGGTCGAAAACATCATGTTCGACAATGCTTCCAATTCCCTTATCTCCCCAACCGTTGAAAATACCGCTATTTACAGTGTTTTCTTCAATTTTTCCATGTGCCAATGCCGGTATCCAACTCCAACATATATATATATAGAAATCCTTCCAAAACATTGTTTTTGACAGTGTTTTTCCAATGTTTCCAGTCAAACAGACGGTAATTTACACGTTTTTTGCCATAAAGGCAGTAAATCCTTCCAAAACATTGCTTTTGACAGTGTTTTTGTAATGTTTCCAGTCAAGCATACGGTAATTTACACGTTTTTTGCTATAACGTCAGTCCAAAACACTTGTTTTTGCAGTGTTTTCAATGCTCTGGCATCCAAAAACCCTGCAAAATCTTGCTATGTACAATGTTTTTTTCATTTTTGGCCGTTTTTCCATTGCCGGAAAGCTACCAAAATGACCCAAAATTCCATTTCAATACCCTCTTGCGCTCAGACACCCAAAAATCCTCGAAAAATGTCGAAAACACCACCGTATTCTGGTCTCGGTGCGAAACGGTTTTTGCCCCCCCCCAGCTAAAGCTGATATAGCGACTGCTATATTAACAAATGTCATTGAGCATTTAGTGTTGCTGTTGCCCCCCAATAAGCACGCCTTCACCGCCAAAGCGGTGTGGGCGGATTTTCAACATTTTTCAACATACTTCAACACACTTCAACAATTCGACACGGTTCAAGAGCTATCAAACGCTAGAACAGGCAGAACTGCCTGGCCCACTGGACTCTGTGGAGACAACGAACGTACGCGGTCAACAGCATTGTCCACTTGACCTTGTTCAGTGCCGTACGTGTGCCGAACATATCTACGTGCTCTGCCCAAAGCGGCGACTTTAAACGTCACTGACCGTCACTGGCTTTCATCGCCTTTGTCTCTTTTGTCTCTTTTCATTGCATTCCAAGCTGCTCTGCATGTCTTCAAGCCTCAGTGTCTTCACAACACTGTCGGCAAAACTTTGCTGCCATCATAAGTTGCATTTTCCTCATCATCTCACCTAGACCACCTAGGACGTGGCTTTGGTAAGGCTCTGGGAGGTTCCAAGTCGAGAAAGGGTACCACCATCCAAAACCTTTCAACAGAAAGAAACAAAACACAAACGGAAGAGAACTTTTGCTTGACTTCAGCGTGTCCCTCTGAATGTAGGGGGCTGTGACTTCTACTTTTGTATGATGATAAAAAATTATAGACCTTCGAGGTCTCACCCCAAGTCATCTTGTTTCATCTTGCTCCCAATTTAAGTATAGGTATAAGTTATATATATAAGTTATAAAAGATTATATAAGTATTGTAAGCATTCATGATAATTCATGATAATTCGTCCAACACTTCTGTGACTTCTGCGGACTTCTCACGATTTGCCCCGAGCCCCGATTTGCCCCGAGCCCCGGCGAACTGCCCAGGCACTGCTTCGTCAAGACGAAGAATGGCACCGCATTGGTTTCGTCCAAGGGACCAGCCATCGCGCCCATGGGAGAACCACCTCCCTGTGCCTGCCGCCAGAGATCCTGTTGATATCCCATGTATAGTAATAACAACACTAATAACAACACTAGCGAAAATCAAAAACAGTCATGATCACAATATATCACAATAGTAAACACATAGTAAAAACATACATTAAAACAAAAATAAATAGAACAAACATAAATAACAGAAACAGTACACGTAAATCCCGTGATCTCCGGATCGATCAGATCCTCGCTTTCCCCCGGCTGATGGATGTGCCTTGGCCGCCATTCCACCTGGCGTTTTGGACACCAAACCGCAGGCTTTTTGATCCATTCGCAGTTGCATCCATCATCCATCATCCTATTGGGTCCACCTGCCGCTGCGCCAGCTGCTGCGCCCATCCTTGCAAGATTGGAGGATCAGAACGGGATGATTTTACACACCATGTCAAAATGATTCAAAAAGTCATGCGTGGTTAGAATGATTCTCTCTCTTGACATGAACTCTCAGCATCTTGGCAATACCCCATCTCCCTTGCTGTGAATACTCTTGACATTTCATTTTTGTCGTTCTGCGGACTTAGTCTTAGTCATATCATAGCGAGAGTATGACTATTATTATGACCTTTCAATGTCTTTCAATTGCTGCCAAGGAACAAAGCAGCGACCTTGCAATTCATATTGCAAATCTCCTTTTCCTGAGTCGGGGCCCTGACTTTGAGCTTCAAACGGTCCTCTGCTCCTGACATTTTTTCCAAAGATGTTCTTTGTGGCAACAGCGCTGGGGCTTCTGCGCATGGAGACCATACAAAATTGATCAAAATTGTGCTCTAATGTTGAACATATTTTTTCTGCCGGAAGCTGAATTTTTGACATTTCAAAAGGGGCGAACCCACACAGCTAAAAAAACCGAGGTTCTATGTAGTTGACTTGCTTGAACCTTGTGCGCGCGGTGTCTAGCTAAGCTCATGTCGGAATCACAACAAGCTCAAGATGTTGTTTTCATTGCCAATTGTCATCAATGCAATCAACTGCAAGCATTGCTCTAAGGCTGCAGCATTTTGTTATTTGGGTCCGGATCCTTTCATTCGAAACGAGTGCCAAAATGCGCCAAACAAACCAGAAAACGAGAACTGAACTTTCATGATTTGCACCACTCCTTTGAGGCATCCTTTTCTTCCTTCTCATCCTGGAAGGGAGTCATGGTATGAAACCCAGGCAGTTGCTATGAAAAATGGGAGATTTACGTGATTTACAGTTATAATGACTTATAATGTATACCCAAATCCAGGTATTTTTAAGGTGGATAAATGATGATAAATGTAAGTAAACAATGGTAGACCGGCCAGCAAACATGGGATATAGTCGTCATATAGTGCTGATGTAACTTGCTCCTTCTTGGAAAGAAGCGTCAGTGGATTCAGGGCGCTCAGAGTCCCACCTGCCAGTGAACAAGTGCAATACACAATGCATCTTCGATAGATTTCGATAGGCCGCGCCGTGCCTAGGATGCCGGCGCCCTTGATACCACCCGGGCATTTCGCATTGCAAAGCATAAAGACACCGAGACCTGCCATCGGATCCATCGGATCCATCGGATCTCCGTCGCATCTCTCAGATTCCCGTCGGTGACTCCGCCTCCAGCTGCAGCCCCAAGGCCTGCCCCAGCTTTCCTCGGTCGCAATGTGTTGATCTCAAGAAACAAGCTGTCAATATCTGTCAAATCCTGTCAATACAGGTGACAACAGGTTGTTTACACTTGACTGCAAAAGGTGACACTACACTAAGGTGTCATTCTTTGTGAAGAAAACACTATACATCCAGCTTCCAATTTCTCCAAGCAGCATTGACATGAACGATGTCGGCCTGAACGTTTCCAAAAAAACTGAGAACTTTCTCCAAATATGGAAAACAACGGGCTTCAATTTCCTACCAAAACAGTTCTCAGTTTTAAATGAACTTTGAAACCGTCAAATTGCCAACCCTTGGCAACGAAAACACATTCACATACGAGTCACGTAGAGTTGCAAGAATTCCAGTTTATTGCTGACTATGCTGACTGCTCCTGAACTCCTTCGCCCCTTTGCACTTAGCCGGGCTATCGATCTGGGCCAGTTACTCCTCCACATTGGTCCGGAGGCCATCGATCCCATAGTGGGTCTTGAACACTGCACCTGATCTCCGTGGCTACCAAACTCGCCCATGGTGTGCTGCAGGTGTCAGAACAAGAGCCACAACAAAACAATTCGCATGGTCCAATTGCGCAAATTGTACTCTGAAGATTGTGAAGAGCAAAAAAACTCATTGAATCCTTGCACAGGAGTATCCAGAAATATTCAGGCCAAGGAACTCTGCATGACAGGCAGGTGCCCCCTTTTTTGGCGCTGAGAATGGCACAAACGAATGAATTCGTTTCGGCAATTTGATGCTCTTTGAGATCAGCTGAGAGATCAAAAACCCAACAAGATTCACCAGCTTCAGCATTTGCGCACGCACATTTTCCGATGGCGGCGAAAATCCTGGGTCGAAGAGTTTCTTCGAGCTTCCCTGGTGGCAAAGTGAAACTGAATCTCTCGTCAGATCAGCCGAGAAACCGAAACTGCCACTGCTGCCATTGCATTACCGACGTCGTACCGTCATGTAGCGACGATTTCGGGGTCGAAAGGAGCTTTTGCTGACGACAGCATGTTGGTTTCAAGGCTTCACAATCTTTTCGGCCCCTTCATCTTAGGTGGCTTCCGCATTTGCGTGAAGCCGAGCCACTAAAGTCTGAACGAAAGTTCAAACAAATTCCAATTCATCATCAATTCATCTGTTTGTGCTCAGTTGACACATGCAGTCTCTTTGTTTACATTTGAAAGCGACATTGTAAAGACAACTAGTTTGTTGCGTCTGTTTGCCCACCATATTGGGTTCGGTATCGGCTGTTAGCTCTCTCGTGGCGACATTGGCGGTGTTGATGCCTGAGTGAAATGTCTTCAAAAGTCGGGTTTGCTTTGAGTTGCCACAATGACACAGAAAAGGCAACCAGCTCCCAAAGTGTGCAGCAAGTATACGGACAACACAAAAATGAGAGACATTAAACGGTGGAGCAAGAACAGACGTGGACAGAATCGAGTCTGGGATCTTGGGTTCTCCAATGCCCCCAGGTTTTGAGAAGCGAAGAAATGGATGAATATGGACCCAATGGATGAATGATGCAGAACGAAAGACCCACAAAACACACCTCGCATTCTGTTCCGCTACCGTGCAGCCTCCGCAACACGTCGCAAGCGTTCATCGTGCTCCTTCACAGGCTAGTACATATATATATATATGGTTTGTACATACTTACATATCATCATATATATGCATTTAGTATATGTTTACATTTGTGCATGCTGTTTATGCCAATGTATAAATATATACTATAGTAGCTTGATATAGCATGAATCATGCCTGCATCTTTTCAATCTGAGCGTCTCCCCTCTGTCTCCTGCTGCCCTGGTGGTGTGGGTGGCGCTGGCGCTTGTGGCCACCGCAAGGGTGCAGGTGGCTCAGCACGACGAGAAGCGACGCTGGCGACGGAAGCTCGCCTTGAAGAACGATGAACATCGATGAAGCAAAAACATGCAAAACCGGTAACGGAGAGACGGAGAGTTTCCGACTTCCACCTTCCGTTTACATGCGCAACATCAGTGCCTCAATTCCTTCTCTTTTGCTCAGTTTTGGGCTTCGAAGGAACGTTTTTGGACGTGTTCTTTGAAGGAACTTTGGAAGGCTGCTCCATCTTGGACATGGTCTTGGCGGTTGCGAAACCACGAGCCGACGAAACTCGACGAAAATCGAGGAAAGGACGACACCTGAGGCATGGATATGATCAAAAACCATCAAAAACCGTTGGCATTCTGAGCTGCAGACTTTTGGTGCTGTCACACTTGCAACCTCGTGGCCCAGCTTGGTAGAAAGATGATGAAAGATGAGGGCCAGGAAATCAATTTGATTCAATTTGGGTAAACATATATGTAAAAATGCAAGTCCAATCAAGGTCTGATCTGGACGTGTCATGACTTGTCTTGTGGTCTTTCTCGCCCTCTTGAAGTGTCTCCCTTCTGTGTCTGCAAGCACTCCTTGGTTTGAGTCTTGCATCTAGCTGCAGCACATCTATCCGAGTCTATCCCGCGTAGCTTGGTCTCGGGCCAAATGCGAAGGTGGAGCTGGAACCTACGATGGCTGACTCTGACGCTCTTATGCGCTCTTGCACATTTTTTGAATGTGTTCAACAAGACTTGGTCGACTGCAAACACGCAGTCAGATACTCTAGAAATCTCCTGAAAAATCTCAGGTTATGATAGGTCAACTATAGTCAACAACTATAGTCAACTATAGTCACTATACGCTTGGGGCCTTGGAACTGCTCTCCATGGATCGAGCTTCGCATGTGGATCTGTCCAAAAGTATTCTGTCGAGCCTCAGGCATGCGAAGTAGTGCTGGAAGACCAGGCCTAAGCAAACCAAACTGAAGGGCTGAAGGGCTGAAGGGCTGGAAGCAGCACCGTTCTCCTTTGATCAACTTCTGGAAGCTGTGAAAGCTCCCAAGTGCATCCAAGTGCTACTATGTTCCATCCATGTTCCATCCATGTTCCATCCATGTTCCATCCATGTTCCATCTTGCTTTGGTGCTGCGTTGAATTTCGGTGCAGCTGGGTTTCTGGTTGGTCATGCGTGGAGCTCTTTGCAGGAAACCTGGTATCAGTGTGTCGATCTCAACCTGCGACCTGCTCTCAGGACTCACAGGTTTCACAGGTCAGCCAGATTTCACAAAATGCCGGAGGTACCTTGTGTCTCAGCTTGATCATCTCGCACAACAGCCAGCCTGAAACTTGAAGTTCCCCATGTACAAGAAACGATACAAAACTGGCGGAGGAGTGTCACATTTGCCTCCATCGTGCAAAAGTGTGCCAAAGATTGAAGAAAATGGAAGAGATTAGAAGAGTTTGCAGAGACAAACATCACCTTTCCCGGTTGCGAAGTGAGTGCCAAACGCATTTTGCTTTAACCATGGCCTGGTACAGAAATATCGAGGAATACATTGAATACATCTCATTCTATATATTCTATGCTGAGGTTTTGTAAGGAATACAGTTTGGAATACATGCCACGGCAAAAACAATGTGGCACAGTTGAGGCCAGTAGCCTCGATCTCTCTTGTTCCTGTGCTTGCTTTGACTTTGGCTGATACCTTGGCACTTCAGAGTGCATGTTGTACGGTGCAGACATGTGCAGACGGTGCAGTAGAAGTGGTGCAGTTCATTCTGCATGCTTTCCACATTTCCACTAGTCACTATCTTACAAAAAATTGGAGTGACTCTCCCAACGAAAAAGCACTTGCAGGACATAAAAAGAAGAGCGCGCAGAATTCTCCGCTCTGAGTGCATGACTGAACCCCAGTATACTCTGTCTCCATTCCAGGTGTTTTAAACCTGTGTGAATTGACATGAAAGATCATGAAAGTGTACAAAATGCCGGCAAGATCGACAAGTCATGGCAGACCATTGCTGTCTCTGAAATTCATCTGAGCTTTCTCTGAGCTTTCGTGCCAGCCGATTCTCTTGCTCAAGTCATCTCGCATCGACTCCAAACGCAGGTGAGCCCTGAGCGCGGAGCAGCGCGGCCAAAAGAGCGGCCAAAGCTCAGAACAAAATTTGAGGTCGTGACATGTCGTGACCGTGGTGCAAAAAACTGTGTGGCTTATCCCATGGTTATCCGATTTGTTCATCTTTGTTCTCAGGGAAACTCAACAACTTTCAACATGTTCCTGCGCATCTTGGTGACTTGGGAACGCGATCGATCCGTGAAACTCTGCAGGACGGCATTTTTGCTTGGCAACATCTGTACGAGTCCTTTCCAGTGCGTCAACCAGAAATCTCCGGTTCTCTCAGTGTCTGGCGGACCCCAGACCTCCAGTTCCAAGCTGGACCTCGGAGAGATGGGACGTCGTAACATGACCCGGGGACGTCACGGAGCTGGGGCTCTGGCTCTGGAGGTGACACTAACCTGACTGGCGATGGATGACTGGCAGCATGGCAGCACTGGCAGCACTGGCAGCATGTCTGCCAAGTTGCAGTTCCGTCATGCGGCTGATGTTTCCACCTGAACAGGCTCGAAGACAAAGGAGTCAGAAGGAGTCAGAAGGAGTCAGAAGGACAGCACCTTTTAGATCCTTTTAGAATCCTTTTAGGACATCTCAAAATGACAGTGCCCACATGACATATTAATACATATTATGCTTGGACAACAAAACTGCAGAAAACTATACAAAACTGCAAAAAATACTGCATTCACATTCGCCACATCAAGCTCGTCTGTTCTGGGACACCAACGTACGCCATTCACAGCCCAAATGGTGCTGTTTGGTAATACGATGCTTGCACCTGTAGAAACCAAGGCTGTGGTGCGACATCTGACGATATCTGACGCTGACAACATCTGACCATGGCCTGCTCCAGCTTGTCGAATTTGTGCCTTGTTCCATTTATCCAAAGGACCGTCCTCTGCGAAAAAGACATGCCATGCACAAGCTGCACAACTCCAAGAAAATATGCAGCATGAATTCAGTGATGGCCCTTGGATTGAAAGTTGGAACATGACATCACGTGGAATCTGCCATCCCCACAGTGCAAGTGCACATCGCTGACAACTTTATGATTCCTCTTCAATGGACGTCACCAGAAAGGCCTTGGCAAGAGACTACTTGATCCCAGTGCCCGAATTTGACTCATCTGCGGCTATTCACAGCGCTAATTAGCTGCACTGAAAGACTGGGGAAACCTTTTGTGATCTTCCAAAACCGAAACTATGCCACGATGCCACACTCTGTGTGGCTACGTAGCAACAACATCAACTAGTTATATAAATTCCAATGTTTTGCGCCAGCACAACCGTTCAACATCGTTCAACATCGTTCAACATCGTTCAACGTTATGTCAATGGCTCTAAGCGGCTCTCTGAGAGGCCGACATGTTCATGTCGTGGAATCCAAACATGTGGATTGCCAACGGACAGGCCTCGACACAAGTTAGTCACAAAAGTGTTAAAATACCATAGGTATCACTTGATATTTTAATCGAAATACAATCTAATCTGCCAATCTCCAGCCATTCTCACTCTGTACCAGTCTTATTTGTGCCGTGGTCCTGGCCATACCTCAGCAACCGGAGCTCGACATCATCAAGCTCAGACTCTTTCTTGCTGTTGGCCTACAAAGAAACCAACGAGTTGGCAAAGAAGTCGTCACACCATCGAGGGAATAAGTTGTGATCCGAAGGATTCAGAAGGTTCATACGAACTTCTGAAATTTTCAATGATATGACATATCATGAAATCCATTATGAAATACGAAACGTGTATATATATATATATCATATATATTTTATTATATTATATTATATTATATCATATCATATTATATTATAATATAATATTATATTATATTATATATATATTATATTGAATAAGAACATCAAATCTCTGCACCATGTCACCTCCAGAACGACCACCATCAGCTGGTCTTCTGGTCCTGGTCTCACCCTGCTCTGAGCGACATTCTCCTGCGAAACTGAACGGCCGATAGGGCCGATGGGGATAAACAAAGAACCGAACCAGGATGAACCATGATGAACCATGATGAACCATGCATAACTGGAGTGAATCGATGACTGAAACCGAAACTAATTGAGGGGCCTCCTTCATAACTCCTTTGAGGGATGCGAGATACATGTTACATGCGAAAATCTGTCCCAAACGAAAGTGAGGCTGGCCGCCTGGCCGCCTGGCCGCCTGGCCTGCTTGTATCCATTGTACATGCACCAAATAGCAGGATCACCATCTTGACCTGCGAACCGTGTTGGAACGGTGGAACTGTGTTGCCATCGATCTCGTAGATTTCCGTAAATCATGTGGGTCTGTCCAAAAATAGGGTATACATGGGTATACCGGTACAATTACCCATGAAATGGCAGTTTAGTATTGAAAACAAGTAATTCCATTAGTTTGCTATTTCATGGTATTTCCAATCTGCTTCCATTCACAGCGGAGCTTCGTTCAGTTGATCTTTCCGCGGTTCCAGGAAGTCTGCAGAAGAGGGAAAATTATGATATATTATGATTAACCATCAAAGTTGATCAAATTTAGGGGTTTTCCCAGTTTTCCCCTAAATTTCTGACAAACCCATGTGCTTAGGCTATGGCTCTCAGTTGCACCAGCGCCCAATTCACCCATGCCATGCTCACCATCCATGAGCCAATCCTTAGTCACAGTGATGCTTGAAGTCCGCGGACACAGAAACCAGTAACTGGTTGCTGTCAACGTGTGAGCACTTGAACAAGTTTCCAACTGTTTCCAATAGTTCTCAACAGTTGCCAACAGCTTCCAACACTCAGTAAATCAGCTACCACAGATCAGGTGCCACTGCCAAGGATGATGTGTCCGACTGCATATGTTCAGTGCCAGCAAACCTTGGCACCCCGACCCCCTCATACCAAGATCCAACCGCCGGCCATTCGCACCGGCCATTTCCATTCCTGCGGATGCCAACGGCAGATACGGCAGGTACGGCAGGACTCCAATAACGACAGGTGCCGGTGCCATCCGGTGCCGTCCGGTGCCGTCCTGAGCCCCTCGTGGAACTGACCGCTGTAGATCCAGGTGTCAAATTCCAGCTCTTTGGGAGCCACTGAACTCATTACCTGAAGAAACGACTGGTGAATCACGGTGAATCACGGTGAATCTGAAACGAAACTCCCATTCCAAACATTCCAAACATTCCAAACATTCCAAACCCAGAAGCTTCGTAACCTTCGTCCTAATTTTGGGCGTGATGTTTCCGTAATGTCTTAAAAAAATGTCTTTCTCAAAGTGGCCCTGCCCTTTCTGCTCTGAAGTCCTGGGACCCCGGGGACGCCTGGGACCCCTGAAACCCCTGGGCGCAGCACTCCATGGCCGTGCGGTTGGCCAAATTGCCATTTTCCACGATAGGTCCTGATGAGGATCAGAATCGCCACCATGCCACTCTTGACGTGCTGCAACCCATCTCACATCGCTTCACATCGCTTCACATTGTCTGAGGCCATGATATGCCATGATTTCACAAAATCCCACAGTCTTCTGACTGAACTTCTACCAGCCCCGTAACTCTATGATTTTTCATGATTCCTATATGATTCTATGATCCTTCAAAAGTGACGGGAATCTCCTGCCATCGGACCACACCATCTTCCCAACGCCATGAGGATCACCATGAAACAGCCTGTGCGCTCGCGACATCTGTCTTCGCTGCGCCAAAATGGACTGAACACCCATGATGTTCATGGATGTTCATGGCAATCTTTAGCCTTGATGACATGACAAAATGAGATCAAGTGAATCAAGTAAGACCAAAATAAATCAAGTGTCTAAATGTCTAAATGTCTAAATAGATCAGCAAAACACTTGCTTAAGGGTTTCGTGGGTTTTGTCATGTCTCCGAATGTATCCAGTCGTCCATGCCATCCAACTGGGACAACTGGGACAAAACACCACCTGGAGCAGCACCAAATTCAGCATCCGACTCGCCGCTGTAGATCGACCCATCTGGCAGTTGGAGATTGTCCTCGAGTAATGCGCTGAATGGCATATGAATGGCATATGTAGGCCCTATGAATGGCATATGTTCCTTCAAACTCAAATCATAAATCATGAACATCTGATCACACGAAAGCATTGAACCGTGGTCACATGGTGTTTCACCTGGTGATTAGTTGTCTATTGCCGTGGATCTGGCCAAGGCGATTAGTACCTTCACAGAAATAATGCAGTCCTTGTAGCCGGTGATGAAGCGTCCTTCCTTGTCCGTCAACGCCTCTGCATTCTAAGCTGCCATCTCCCGTAACACCATCGTAACGCAAGACATCCAAAAATCTCTAGGGTCCCTGTGCCCGTGCTGGGCACATGATGGCACATGTTGGGTTGCCTAGATTTCAGTCTTTGTGGTGGACATTGATGCAATCCCACGTCAAAGCGTTGACAAAGGCGGCACTGATTCATCCTCAATGTTTATACCTGGATATGTCGAATCCTTTTGTGCTTTCCACGCCGCATCTTCTAATTGGCAATGCTGAAATGTCACTTTTTGTTTTTTTGCTAGAATTGCTAGAATGTTAGAAAACCATTGATTTAAATTATTTTTCTAACATGCATTGATTAGTTAAACAATTTTAAACCATTGCACAAGTTGATGCTAAACCATTGATTTTTACCCTTGTGCACAACTTTCGCTTTGCTGTGCTTAGCACCTCCATCCACGCGTCGTATTCCTTCTGTTCATCACTGCGAGCATCGTCCAAAGCCCTGCCAACGAATGATGCACACAGAGTTGGACACACAGAGATGTGGACGAAAACATGTTAAAACACATTAGAGATCATTAGAGCAGTTTCTGAAACTGAAACTCAGCATGATCGACCAGATCGACCACACGAGCTGAGTTGGACAAACAAAAGGAACTTGACATGTTTTCCACAAGCAGAACTTTTTAGAAGGAAAAAACACCGCAAAACCTGCGCACATTGTGCTTTCCCTTTTTTTTTCTGTTCTGTTTCTTTGCAAATGTATCCTGAGCTCCTAGCTTTTTTTGCATTTGCTGAAGCGACTCTTGTCTCCTGCGAGATGACTCAAATTTCTGTAGCTGTGCTGGGCGTGTCTAAAATTGGCCGCGAGATATTTTGAAGATTTTTGAAGATTGTTTGAAGATTTGATCATTTTGATAATCATCTGATAATCATCTGATAATCATCTTGATCCAGCGTGCTTTTGGCTGAAGGTCTTCTTTCGGTCTCCCACCTCAGGAGCTTCTTCTTTTGCTGCCGCAAGCGGTAGATGTAGGATCCGCAGAATCCCACCTAGACGAAACTGCGGGTATCTGATTCGATCTGATTCGATCTGATTCGATCTGATTCGATCTGATTCGATCTGATTCGATCTGATTTTAATTTTATGTGGACTTTTTGTAATTTTTAGTAACACATTTACTGCCAGTTGGTGCCATTGTGCCAAATGCATCCAAATGCCCTACGTTTAGCCGTGGGCTCTGGCTTGTCGGACGGTCCAGCAGCCCAACTGGGGCCGTCACTGTCACAGCAAAAGCAATGAGCAATGCGACCTCAGGCTTCGATTTTCTGGGACGAGGACGTTGTAGAAGCGAAGGGGAATTGAAGGAAGGAATCGAAGCACTAAATAATTATGGTTGGTTGTCTATCCTTCCCAATGATTTTCCATTAAATCATATCAAATCCCTACTGATGGTTAAAATCCATTGCATTTCTGAAACATGCAGTAAACTTCCCCATACATTTCCATAGCATAAAATCCCGTGAAATCCTTCTTGATGGTTAAATCCCACTGCATCTCTGAGCCTTTGGCGGCCCAAGCGGGAAGTCCTTCCTGCAAATTGACCTGCACAAAAAACAGTCCCCTGCAGCCCAAAACGCAACTTTAAAACATCAAGCTAAGCAGCTTATCCTAAATTTCTCCGATTTCTAGATAATTTTTGAAATACTTTCAGATCTTGAACGATCAAAATCCGGATGCCAGACTCTGCATCTTCAATGGGTCTGTGAGACCTCTGCGCTTGATAACTGCAATCTACAGCACTTTCTAAAATTAACCAAAATTCATGTTTACATTTTTTTTCGTCATTTTCATGTCAACAGTTTCGTCCTTGAATCCTATTGAAACCAGTGCTTGAAAGGGCTTCGAGGCATCGGCAACTAGAGTCATCAGAATCCTTCACTCTCGTCTCAAAAAACTTTCAATTTCCATATTTGTTAAGGAATCCCTAGGAATCCCTAGGAATCCTATGGCCAGATGTTTTCATTGGACCAACCCTCGCCTCAATGATGATCTTCACCTCAGTGGTCGTGGTCGGAGCCGGAGTCGTAATCTCTGCTGGCCTCGGATGATCTCAGTGGGGATCCACGGGGATCTATGGATCGACAACACATAAAAAACCAAGTGGCGGAAGGTAGAGGATCACACCTGGCAAACTTTAGAAACATCATAAAACATCTGTCACCTGCTGCAACGTCAATTTCAGCATCTCAAGGCATCTCAAGGCATCTCAAGGCATCTCAAGACAATCAAATCTTATGTTCTTGCAACTTCGAAACAACAAGTGGCTTCATGAAACAGCCATTGTATGAAGCGTGTCCAGGATTGCGAGTAGCAGGACCGATGAGAATCGTTCTGGGCGGTGTGCACCTCATTGGCCTGAACATTTTTTTGAAGTTCCGGCAGATTTTTCCAATTTTCGCCGTGCGAAAATAAAAAGGCGCTTGGCTTTTGCGGCGCTTTTTTGCTTCGCCAAGAGGCCGTAAATCTGGGAGAACCGTAAAGCACAACTCCTCCAGTTTCTGCTCCAAGTCCTGGACTCAAGTCATAGCAAGAGGAATAGGCTCTATACGCTATAAAAAAAATCGTGTAGGGCATATATAACATAATAATAATAATCATAGTAATAATAAATGTTTAGATACATATATATATATTTAAAATAAATAAATAAATACATAAATAAATACATACATAGATAAATAAATACAAAAATAAATAAATAAATAAATAAATAAATAAAAATATAAATATAAATATATATATACACATAATATATATATATATACACACATAATATATATATATATACATACTAACTATATATATATATATATATGTATATATATGTATATATACGTATAAATATTTGTATATCAACAAAGTGGTGAAATATGGTTAAACAAAGATAAATCCATGTACCATCGCATCATGTGCCTTCAGAAGCCTTGCTTCCGTGGCGAGGGCACTGGCCGCGAAGAAGTTGAGCATTTGCTCCGCCTCCAAATGTGGCAGGTGGGAATGCTCCGCAAGGCGTGGCCGCTTTTTGGAATCTGACTCGTGGAACACGAATTAAAGCACCTGGTTTATTGTGGACTATGGTAATCCCCCATGAACCAAATGGCATAACCCCCTATATTGCTCCATCAACAGAGGTACTGTGAATATCACTCAAACATATTCAAACTGTCTTTGTTAGGTTGTGTCTCGTTAATAAACTTCACCCTGCTCAAGCTCCAGCCTTTTGGAAGGTGTATTCATCATCGATTTCCTCGGGCAGCAGTCGTTCACACATTCGAAAGAGCATTTGAAACTAGAAAAACACAGGGTTGAACATCCAACTTTTACGATTATTTTTGATCAGCGTCGTTTCAAAACCTGAGGTCAAAACCAAATAGAAAGGAATCTCTATAGCCACCTCATCATTTGGCTTCATTCAGCATCTGAATTTCCAAACTTTGCACATACTGGCAATGGTTTGACACTTGTCTTGGGATTGCAGGACAGAAAACGCCCAAAACATGACTGGACGCGCCGATTTGTTCCACCGCCAGAATGTGTCAAATTGAATTCTTGAAACATGCTGGGTTTGCCGCGAATTGGTATTCGCCTGTGCTATGGCTGCGATGGCTCTGAAATTGAGCTGTGACACCAACGACCTGACTGCCCGGGTGAAACGCAACCGGATGCAATGCAAACCCAGCCCTTCAGGGGTTTGTTTGGTTTTTTTTCCGTTTTTTAGAAAATATTTTCTGTTCTGTCCGTTTTCCTTCCTATTTGCAGTTTGGAGCTGGAAACTGCCATTTCAAGGGTGTTTGCAACATTTGGAAATCGAACCTATCATTTTCCATGGTATTGCTCTCATTTTCCATGGTATTTGCAACATTTTGGTGCTCGAACTGCTCATGTTGCATGGTATTTTGCAACGAGAGTACATTGAGGGTTGGTTTAGGGTCTATTTATGGTTGGCTTGCAGTAGGTTTTTGGTTTGAAATTTTAAGGTTGGTTAAAACATTATTTCACGTTGGTTTGGGGTTTATTTAGGTTTGCTTTCAGATCTACTTAGGTTTGGTTTAGGATCTACTGAGGGTTGGTTTAAGGTTTATCTAGGCTTGGTTTAAGATCTGCTTGGGGTTACGGTGGGATGTTCATATCACTTTAGCCTTGTGGACACTGATGGTGTCCATGGGGTGGGATTTTGACATCATCTTACCTTTGCGGACACTCATGGTCGCTTTGAAGTTTCACGGGGGTGGTGTTTTGATATCATCTTACCCGTCACTTTGAAGTTCCATGTGGGTGGGATTTTGGTGTCATCCTGACGGTCACTTTGGAGCTGCATGGGGGGTGAGGTCCAAAATGATGTGGACTTTTGATGGTCACTTTGAGGTTCGATGGGGTGGGACCCTGCTCTCACCTTACCCTTGTGGACGCTGGTGGTCACTTTCAAGCTCCACGGGTGGTATTTCGATGCCATCTTTCGCTTATGGACACAACTGGGGGTCATTTTGGTGTGCTAGGATTTTGATGCTATCCTGCCTTCGTGGACATTGATGGTCATTTTGAAACTCCATGGCGGGTGGGATTTTTGATATCTTAACTTTGTGGTCATTGATTAGAAGTTCCATGCGGGTGGGAATTTGATATCATCTTAAGTGTGGACGCTGATGGTTGCGGGATGCGCTTGCAGTCGCAGAGTTACGCAATCCCTTGAACAGGGTTGCACAACAAAAATGCGCAATCCTGGAAGTCGCGCAAACAGTGTTGCACAATCCTGGGAGTTGTGCAAGCAGAGTTTTGCGATCCTAGTTGCCCAATCCGAGGACGAAATTTAGCACCCGGAAGTTTCGCAATCCGGAGAAGGTTCGCAATCGGACTTTGTTCTTGGTTTAGGTTATATTTAAAATTTGTCTAGCGGGTGGTTTAGGATCTGTTTAAGGGTGATTCAGGGTTTCTTTGGGGTTGGTTTCAAATTTAATTGGGGTTTGCTGCTTAGGTTTTTAGAGGGTTGCTTGATTTTTCCGAAGGGTTTGTTCCAGGGTTGAATTAAGGCTGGTTGAAGGTTTATTTACACAGTATTTCTGAGCAGGGAAATGCACAAAGCAAAGAAACAAACAAGCAAAGAAGCAGGGGAAAAACAGGAAGACAGAAATTCAAAAGGCATTGCCGAAACGGAAAAAATCAACCAAATATAACCCCCCAAAATTGAATTAGCATTTGCCTGTGCCATGGCTGCTATGGCTCTGAAACTGAGCGGTTGCACCAAGGACATCTTTGCACGGGTGAAACCCAGCCGGACACAAGCGAAACCGCATAGCGGTTTTTGCATTTGCCTCTAGAGCCAGGCGGCACGCCAGCCCAGCAAAGTCAAGTATTTCTTTCCGAGCCATTATGACATTGATTTCTGGCATTAATGACTACAAGTCACAAGGAGTCTTTGCCTCAAAGCTTGTTTTCACAAATTCAACTTGTACCACCACCACCACCATCATCATCATCATCATCACCATCTTCACCACCATCACAAACATCTACCGGCTACATGATCTACATGACCTACACAATCTACATCATCTACATCATCAACATCGAACATCCCCTACAACATCCTCATGATCTTCTACACATTTCTACACCATCTATATCACCCACATCATCTGCGCATGTAGACGTGTCGGTGATCAACTTCTATGAGCCCTTCAAAAACACCTACGAAGTCTTCTATATCATCTATACCATCTCCAATGTATAGGCATGTAGGCGATCGACGTGTATACGCTCCTTCAAAAGTTTTACGAGACACCTGCAATGTCAACTCTTGTATACCTCTCCTAAGGCAGCTGCCCCGTGGACGTCCATCGAAACATGGCCCTCTCCGGAGATCGTGCACGTCGGGAAGCCAAACGTGTGGTAAAATGCAAATTGTACTGGTTCCCGGGTGTCCTCTGCAGAGATCGTGCGTGTCGGATGTCCAAACGTGCGGTAAAATGTAGGAAAATGTGAATTTGGCGGGTGCCGTGCGAACCTCTGCGAAAATTCTGCAGCAGGTCGGCCGCCGAAACGTCCAGTGAAATGCGAAATTTGTTTGTGCAAGGCAACGGTTTGCGGAGATCGTGCGTTGGGCAAACGTGTGGTAAAATGCGAATCTGCTGCTGCTGCTGCTGCCCGGACCAAACCTCTTTGCTGCACGCACGCACGATGAAAACATGTGGTGAACTGCAAACTTCGCTTTGTGCAACAGCTTCTCCTTGTAGAAGCTTCTGTGCCTGAAAGCTTCCGTGTGTAAAGCAAAAGTTTCTGTGTGTAAAAGCTGCTCTGTGTAGCGGCTTCTCCGTGTAAAAGCTTCTGTGTGTGCAAGCTTCTGTGTGTAAAAGCTTCCGTGTCTAAAAGCCTCTGTGTGTAAAGGCTGCTCTGTGTAGCGGCTTCGGTGTGCAGAAGCTTCTCTGTTGAGCTTCAGTGTAAAGTCTTCTCTGCGTAAAAGCGTCCGTGTGTAAAAGCATCTGTGTTCAAAAGCTGCTCGGCGCAAAGGCTTCACTTTGTAAAAGCTTCTGTGTAAAGCATTGTAGAGCGTCTCTGAGTGTAAAAGCATTTGTGTTCAAAAGCTGCTCTGTGTAAAGGCTTCCCTGTGCAAAAGCTTCTGTTCGCAAAAACTTCCGTGCGGAAAGCAGCAGTTTGTGTGTATAAGCGCCTGTGTAAAAGCTGCTCAGTGTAAAGGCTTCTCTGTGTAAAAGGTTCTGTGTGGAATCTGCATGTGTAAAGCTTCTCTGTGTAAAAGCGTCTGGCGGGAAAAGCGTCATCGTGCAAAAGCTTCTGTGTGCAAAAGGCTACTAATAGCAAAGCATGCTTGCCAACGTTTCAAATCTGCTAGATTCTATTGGCGTAGTTATTCTGACTGTCACTCAGGTGCCAGTGCTGGAGCAACCCTCCTGTGCGGAGAAAAAAGGTATCAAGCCGTGGATGTATGATGTTTCATCTACTTCATTCATCGTTCATCATTCATCATCATCATCATCATCATGATCATGATCATCATCATCATCATCATCATCATCATCATATGTTTGTATTATCTTCTCGTCTCCCCCTCCTCCGTCGTCAAGTTTAGAAATGTCTAGACAAGGTGTCGCGAGAAATGTGTTAGAGATAGCCATTGCACGAAACTTCAGGGCTTGTAAGGCCAAACGTGCCCAGGAAGACCGATGGCCAAGGTCTACTGCGCGATGGCTTCCGAACGGTCTCATCTCATGGTCAGATCATGTTCGGACCACGTTCGGATCGGAAGCTCATTGGAGCTGACGTTTCAGTGGTCTTGCAACGCCGTGTGTTGTTTCGCAACTCCATGCTGGCGTACTGTGTGGCTGCCTTGCTATTACTTGCGCAGTGCACATAGTTGTGTGCTTGCAGATCCTGGTGGAGAGGCATCGTCAATGTTGCAGCTGGCCGCGGCCGCGCACGTAGTTCCAGTCTGTTTTGCGTTTTGCAATCCAACGGCTGCTTAGCGCATTCAGATTGCTTCGCCAAGAAAACTTTTGATGCGTGTCTGCACGCTGCTGGCATTGTGTTGAAGTTGCTCAGTCCCTGCAAATTGCTAGATCAATGATCTTTGACTATATTTGTTTGGCGCTGCTTTTTTCAGACTTTGCCAGCTCGTAAAATGCTTCAACGCATCCTATACTTCTTGTGCATTGGCGCGGAGATTCTGTCTCGGGAGCTCCGTTTGCTGTCTGCTTTCTGCATCATTTTTCTCCATTCTTGTGTCAAAGGAAAGACGAGATGGAAAGAGATGGAAAGAGATGGAAATAGAAAGAGATGTCAAGATAAAGTTTGAAAGGGACGCGAAGAGGAAGGGATGAGGAGAGGAACAGTTTTCAAGGCAGAGGAGTGATGTCAGGAGGAGCAGGTGACAGGAAAACGGGTTGTGAAGAGAAAGATATTTCAAAAAATGTCAAGAGCGAAAGATGAGAGAAACATGTCAGAAGAAACCTACGTGAAAAGAAAAGAGATGAAAAGAGAAAGACCAATCAAACAATCTCGGTGTCAAGAGAAGTGATGATAGAAGAAAGAAATGGCAAGAAAAAACGATGGCAGGAGAAAGAGCTGATTAGACCAAGAAGCGCGGAGACAAGATGTGACAAGGAGGTGTCAAAATAGGCCAATTTCAAGAACAAGAGATGACTAAGTAGAGAAATGAAAGAACTGCCAAAAGAAAGAGAAGTCAAGATTAGGAGATGTCACGAGAAGAGAAAAACACGAGATGACAAGGGAAAGAGACGTCACGAGAAAAGGGATGACAAGACAACGGAAATCCCAAAAAACGGAGACATGAAGAGAAAGAAGTGTCAAGAGCAAGAGACAGCAAGAGAAAGGGATGTTGCGCGACAGAGATGCAACAGTTTTCTCGAGCACAGGTGGTCTTGCACACGTCCTGTAGACACATTCTTTCGCCCTATAAGTTCTTCTGAAACTTTCCACCGTCGGCTTGCCTGGGTACTACTTGCAAATAAAGATCGCGTATATAAGTATAACTAAGGCGTACAAACTCACAAGACAAAAGATTCGAAAAGGCTTTGCCAGTAGAGCTGCCCGCCTGAAAGACCTATAGACGTGCCAAGATTTGCACCTGAATTATTGAAATCGGCACCTCGACCACAAGTCCAAAAACTGAGTCATCAGTTGGAATCGTAGTCGTTCAGATTGTGCGAGCTTGTGGTAATCCAACCGCGTCCAAATTCAAAAGCGGCCATGAAAGAGCTATGTGATAGCTCTAGATTGCCGCGTAATAGCTGTTCATGGCTTACAGCTACAGCAGCTCAGCTACTTGGCCACCAAATGTTTGGGCTGCACTGTTTCTGCAAGTCTGCGAATCCATGTGAGTGTAGCGCAAAACTACCATTTCCATAACACTCGCGTGAACATTGTTTTCGCGCCAGACAGCTTGCAGACACAGTGTCCGCTACAAACTTCTGCGCGCCAAGAAGTCAGCTCGGCATCTCAATGAGGCCTTCATCATGCAAAGACATTGAAACTTGAATTCTGTTCCTCCACGGAACCTGGTGATCGCCAGCCACCCAAAGGGGATGCTGGGCGGGCACTGAACCCGGAAAACTTTCGAAAGGTATCCAGCAAAGGATATTCACCGGGCCTGACAATAGAAGCAAGCGTGTACGGAACACTTGAAACATCATATTTCAGTGTCCACAGCGACGCTTGCAAGCCAGATTTGCAAGCTGCCAATCTCGTTTTCAAACAAACTCTCCACGCCACAAGCACAGCATAGTTGGTGCAACAACAGCTTGGGAGAACAATCATTTCTCAAAATGTACCCTGGAGGCAAAACTGAGCAGACTTCTTCTCTTGAAACTTCATGTGCCTGGAGAGACTAGCTACAAGAAGAAGACCCCCCTTGCCACCCGACTTGACAAGAGGGTCCCATACCTTTCAGAGGCATTGCTCACGTAAGGCTCTAACTGCAGCTGCACAGGGACTGCCTGGGAGTAGATGTTGGCTGCCAAGCTCAACGGCAAAGGTGTGCCATTCTTGGTGAAAACACGGGGTGCTCCTGCCGTTTCAGGCATGCCATGCAAACCCATGCTGAAGCCATAGCGCAATTTGCAATGAACTTTCTGCGTGATTATTCGTATACATACAACACGGGAAAGTGATATAGACATATGTACATATATCGCACACGCACACAGAGCTATATATATATATTTATAAATGTAAATATAATACATAGATAGTATATATATATAATATATATATTATAAATTATATATATATATATTATACATATAATATATATAATATATATGGGGGTTGTCCTAAATTACTGTTCCCACAAAGACCTCTTGGGCCGAGTTTGCGCCAACCTTGCGCGTTTCTTGCGCGACCACACTCCCGGATCACTTTCATCATTTCAGTTGTTTTTCATCATTATTCTCGTACTTGTTTTCGAATGTTAAATATTTAGTATTCACTTAGTATTTCGTACTGGGAAGTAGTTTGTGCAAGCTTTGTAGTACACAGTAGTACTGGGAAGTGGTTTGTGCAAGCTTTGTAGTACAAAGTAGGACTGGGAAGTAGTTTGTGCAAGCTTTGTAGTGCAAAGTAGTACTGGGAAGTAGTTTGTGCAAGCTTTGTAGTACACAGTAGTACTGGGAAGTAGTTTGTGCAAGCCATGCAGTACAAAGTAGTACTGGGAAGTAGTTTGTGCAAGCTTTGTAGTGCAAAGTAGTACTGGGAAGCAGTTTGTGCAAGCTTTGTAGTACACAGTAGTACTGGGAAGTAGTTTGTGCAAGCTTTGTAGTACAAAGTAGTACTGGGAAGTGCTTTGTGCAAGCTTTGTAGTACACAGTAGTACTGGGAAGTGCTTTGTGCAAGCTTTGTAGTACACAGTAGTACTGGGAAGTGCTTTGTGCAAGCTTTGTAGTACACAGTAGTACTGGGAAGTGGTTTGTGCAAGCTTTGTAGTACACAGTAGTACTGGGAAGTAGTACTGGGAAGTAGCTCTGCACGTGTTGAACTTCTGTGGTTTCAGAGCGGTTTCAGAGTGGTTTCAGACCCCTTCGGGGGGTCTAGCTGACCTTGATGAAAAGAACAATTTACAGACAGAAAAGACTTGAACACAACATACAAGGAAATACATTTAAAGAGCAGATAGATAGATAGATAGATAGATAGATATAGATAGATAGATAGATAGATAGATAAATAGATAGATAGATAGATAGATAGAGATAAAGCAGCCAACGCGGTCCGGAAGACATGCAGCAGCAGCCCGGAGATGGTGAGCAGGAAGGTGTTTCAGAATGGTTTCAGACCTCTTTTGGGCTTGTTTTTTGGGTACCCCCAGCTTTGGGAGATGAAAAAAGAAAGAGAAAAGGTAGAGAAAGAGAGAGAGAGAGACAGAGAGAGGAAGAGGGAAAGAGAGAGAGAGAGAGATAGAGAGAGAGAGAGGGAGAGAGGAAGATGGAAGATGGAGACAAACAGTAGGCGAGAGAGAGAGAGAGACAGAGAGAGGAAGAGGGAGAGGAGAAAGAGAGAGCGTTGTAAATGGTGAGCAGCGGGGTGTTTCAGAGTGGTTTCAGACCTCTTTTTGCCCGTAGGCTACCTCAGCTTTGGAGAAAAAACAGGAAAAAACGGGAAAAGAAAGAAGAGAAGGGAGAAAGAGACAGAGAGAAAGAAGAAGTCTTGAGACGGTGAGCAGGAAGATGTGTCGAACTGGTTTCAGACCTCTTTTGGGGCCGGTTATGGGGCTACCTAGTTCTTAAGACATCCAAAAGAAGGGGCTCAAAACAGATTGTACTTGAAACACATGCGGTCCGGAAAGATGTGCAACGGTCCGGAAAAGCAAGCACCCAAAACGTACTCTAATCGTAGCGATTGCGGTCCGGAAAGGCATGCAGCGGTCCGGAAAAGCGAGCACCCAAATCGCACTCTAATTGTAGACATTGCGGTCCGGAAAGATGAGCAGCGGTCCGGAAAAGCAAGCACTCAAAAAGTACTCTAATTGTAGACATCGCGGCCCGGAAAGACATGCAGCTGTCCGGAAAAGCAAGCACCCAAAACGTACTCTAATTGTAGATATCGCGGTCCGGAAAGACCTGCAGCGGTCCGGAAAAGCAAGCACCCAAAAAGTACTCTAATTGTCATTGTGGTCCGGAAAGACCTGCAGCGGTCCGGAAAAGCAAGCACCCAAAAAGTACTCTAATGCAGCGGTCCGGAAAAGCAAGCACCCAAAACGTACTCTAATTGTAGATATCGCGGTCCGGAAAGACCTGCAGCGGTCCGGAAAAGCAAGCACCCAAAACGTACTCTAATTGTAGTCATTGTGGTCCGGAAACACCTGCAGCGGTCCGGAAAAGCAAGCACCCAAAAAGTACTCTAATTGTAGATATTGCGGTCCGGACGACCTACAGCGGTCCGGAAAAGCAAGCACCCAAAACGTACTCTAATTGTAGCCATTGTGGTCCGGAAAGACATGCAGCGGTCCGGAAAAGCAAGCACCCAAAACGTACTCTAATTGTAGACCGAAAGACATGCAGCGGTCCGGAAAAGCAAGCACCCAAAAGGTACTCTAATTGTAGCCATTGTGGTCCGGAAAGACCTGCAGCGGTCCGGAAAAGCAAGCACCAAAAAAGTACTCTAATTGTAGATATCGCGGTCCGGAAAGACCTGCAGCGGTCCGGAAAAGCAAGCACCCAAAACGTAATCTACTTGTAGCCATTGTGGTTCGGAAAGACATGCAGCGGTCCGGAAAAGGAAGCACCCAAAAAGTACTCTAATTGTAGCCATTGTGGTCCGGAAAGACCTGCAGTGGTCCGGAAAAGCAAGCACCCAAAAAGTACTCTAATGCAGCGGTCCGGAAAAGCAAGCACCCAAAACGTACTCTAATTGTAGACATTACGGTCCGAAAGACATGCAGCGGTCCGGAAAAGCAAGCACTCAAAAAGTACTCTAATTGTAGCCATTGTGGTCCGGAAAGACCTGCAGCGGTCCTGAAAAGCAAGCACCCAAAAAGTATTCTAATTGTAGACGTTAGGACCGCTGCAGGTCTTTCCGGACCACAATGGCTACAATTAGAGTACGTTTTGGGTGCTTGCTTTGTCTCTCCTCTCTTTCTCCCTTCTCTTCTTTCTTTTCCCGTTCTTTCCTGTTTTTTCTCCCAAGCTGAGGTAGCCTAAGGACAAAAAGAGGTCTGAAACCACTCTGAAACACCCGCTGCTCACCATTTACAACGCTCTCTCTCTCCTCTCCCTCTTCCTCTCTCTGTCTCTCTGTCTCTCTGTCTCTCTCTCTCTCTCTCTCTCGCCTTCTGTTTGTCTCCATCTCTGTCTCGTGCTATCCTCTTTTCCCGACCGCTGCGTGTCTTTCCGGACCGCATGTGTTTCAAGTACAATCTGTTTTGAGTCCCTTCTTTTGGATGTCTTAAGAACTAGGTAGCCCCATAACCGGCCCCAAAAGAGGTCTGAAACCAGTTCGACGCATCTTCCTGCTCACCGTCTCAAGACTTCTTCTTTCTCTCTGTCTCTTTCTCCCTTCTCTTATTTCTTTTCCCGTTCTTTCCTGCTTTTTCTCCAAAGCTGAGGTAGCCTACGGACAAAAAGAGGTCTGAAACCACTCTGAAACACCCCGCTGCTCACCATTTACAATGCTCTCTCTCTCTCTCTCCTCTCCCTCTTCGTCTCTCTGTCTCTCTCTCTCTCTCTCTCGCCTTCTGTTTGTCTCCATCTTCCATCTTCCATCTTCCACTCTCTCTCTCTATCTCTCTCTCTCTCTTTCCCTCTTCCTCTCTCTGTCTCTCTTTCTCTCTCTTTCTCTTTCTCTACCTTTTCTCTTTCTTTTTTCATCTCCCAAAGCTGGGGGTACCCAAAAAACAAGCCCAAAAGAGGTCTGAAACCACTCTGAAACACCTTCCTGCTCACCATCTCCGGACTGCTGCTGCATGTCTTCCGGACCGTGTTGGCTGCTTTATCTCTATCTATCTATCTATCTATTTATCT